TGAACCTGACAATAACATTTTGCAGTGCTGGTCGTCCCTTTTGTTAGTGGGAGGTGGGGGTGTATTAATGCAATACATGAGCACACAGTTAGGGAGCCAACTATTCTGTATATTGCTCTTCCAACCATCATGACCTACAAATTACACAGTGTACATATGCTGAGATAGATCTTACAAACCCATGTTTCCCTTATTGACAGTTATATGTAGCTCTGACTCAAGTAGGTAACCCACAGAACAGGCATCTTTTAAAGATTCCCTGAAATGTAAAAGCTGTGCCCAAAAATGCAGAGGGCAAGGGACTAGGCATCAGTATTGCCTATAGCCTCCCCACAGCTAATCTTTTCCCCAACCTGTTGCTTCACACTATGTGGAGGTAGCCATCTTAGCAGAGACACAGGGCTTTGCTTTCTCAGGTCCGAGATGCCCCTATGATAACTGATGGTCTCATGAGATATTCAAGAAGTTGTGGAAGGAGTAAAGAAATCACAGATTCACACAATTATTAAAGCACAAGCAGAGAGATCCTTTCACAGCAGGTCCTCAGGTACATCGTCTTTCCAGAAAAGAGAATAGTGGGAAGCATTGCAGTGACATCACCAAATCTTACCCTGAATCTTGTGTGAATAGCAGTCAGGGGCAGCAGTGCCTTGGGTTAATCTTACAATGCAGATATACAGCTTGTAGGCTCAAAACACAGGAGTGCCTAGGCACAGGAAATACATTGCTATTTTCAGGAGAATTCAAGACAAAAGGTACATTTTTAGGGTACTGCAAATCCCAATTAACATTTCTAGATGTTCCCCATAACATAGCATTTCTTCCCTTTGTAAGTTCAGGTCCACTTTAAGTAGTTTAGATAACGCTACAAAAACATTTACACAGAAATGTTATAATGATCAAAATGAAAACATGTACAAAATAACCCTGAGGGATAACATCATGATTCTCAATGCTAAGATAGACTTTACATATAATGTTATGTAACTACATAATGTATGTAGAATCTACAGTGTATACCTAGATCTATAAATGTAGATCTGAAAAACTGGGTATTTAACTATCCCTGCAGTGTAGTGCCAAACATATAGGTAATTTACTTGTCGCTCCCACGGGCAGGGCCCTCCTTACCATCTTGTCTTGAATTGTACTGTAATTATAATGTCTTCCTTATATTGTAAAGTGCTGTGCAAACTGTTGGCGCTATATGAATCCTGTATAATAATATAATACATGTACATTGTACATGTGCATTGTACTTGCCTAGGTTAAACAAATGTTCTTACAATTGTTGTCAATATAATCCTTGAGTAGAAGATAATTATATATTTATTAACGTAACTAATCCTTTTAATCCTTCCTCCTACTAATTTAACTCCATGGAGCTTCAAGCTGGTCATAGACGGCTCTAATTCTGGGAAATTTCTGCTGAATTAGCAGAATCTTAAGTTGTGGTTGGCCCTGCAAGTACTACCCAGCAGGACAAAAGTCAACTTAAAACTGACAGAGCCGAATGGGAAATTATCCGCTGAACAGCCACTGCATCCTAACAGATAATGAAATATAAATGTGTAATAGCTGAAGCTCTCTTTTAGATTGGTTAATAAAGTGCTCATGAAATAATTTGTGTAATATACTTAATAATATAATCGCTGCAGCACTGCTAGCAAACTACCAACATACAAACCTAGATGTCCACTTATTCTGTGAATCCCAAATATATCATCAGGTATCATATATATAGTATACATGTAAATAGCAATCAACAAAAAACAATACACAATTAACAAAACTATTACATAGGGCTGCAAAGCTAAGCAAGTCTGCTACACAGTGAATAATCCACAATAATGCGATATAAAGTGCAATTGTGCTCAGTAATGTTAACAATATCAAAGTCCTTAAATCATAGAACTACAGGGCTCAGCCTGTCTTCCCTATACAAAATATGTTATGATGTAAAGTCCAAGTGTGCCCTTTCCTTCATTTGTTCTCACATGCTCCCAAAAACATCACCCTTGTGGATTATTCAGTTTGTATAGGGCTTGCTAAGTTTTTGTAGCCCTACGGAAAAGTATGCTAGTTGTGTATTTGTTGTTGATTGTTATTTATATACTGTATATGAGATCTGTCGATATTACAGAGCCATTTGCCCTGCGAATCTCTGTGAACATTCATTCTGTGCAAAAATGAACATTCTTAGTATATTTTCTTTTCGGTCAAATGTAATAAGATTTAATACAGCATTATGGCCATTAAATGGAGCTGAAGAGCATAGGAAGAAAAGTATTTCCTATGCTCCTCAGCTCGATCTAGGGGCCACCATGCAGTAATATATTACATTCGGCCTGAAAAGAGAATTTACTAAGAACGTTCATTTTTGCCTCTATTCACAGAGAATGAACGTTCACAGAAATCCATATGGAAATGGCTCAGTGAATTGTTTATAAATTGATCCCTTAAGCTAGCCATACACCTATAGATTATCTGCAGATTTTCTGTGGTCAGATGGAAAAAGTGCAACAGATTCCTCCATCTATGCTAAGCTGTGTGGATGGAGGAATATCCCACTGGGCCAAGCTTCAGTATCTTGCTAGTCGGCCCCACTGGCTGTCAAAACACCTGAACAATCTGATTGTTCAGGTGTTTTGACAGCCAGCAGGGCCGACTAACAAGATACTGAAGCTTGGCCCAGTGGGAGATTCCTCCATCCACACAGTTTAGCGTAGATGGAGGAATCTGTTGCACTTTTTCCATCTGACCATAGAAAATCTGCAGATAATTGTAAGGTATATGGCCAGCTTTAGGGTCACATGTAGGTAGTTTACTAGGAGCGCTGCAGAGTTGATATTACTAAACATTCTGTTTGTGTAGTCAGGCAGTACAATAGCTGGCAGAGATTCTTCTATCTAAGCTGCTTAGTATGGATAGGGGAATCAATTGATTTCTCTTGTTCAGTCCACAGAAATGACAGAGAAAATCGAAGTGTCCATGGCCAGCTTTAGCAAATAAAAATCAAAAGCAGTTCAGGTGTAACCTGGAGACCCTGGAAGTGTGTACACAGCAAATTCACGGCTTCATTTATTGGTACCATGCACCAAAGGAAAAAAGTTCAACCGTAGTTCTGTCACTCAGCAAATATTTGTTGAGATCATTCAGTTAGTTAAGTTCTTTTTATATGATCAGATTCATGTTTCTCTTCAACCACTGTAATTATCATCTCAACAAAACTGCTGACATAAGAAGTGTTTGTCGGGTGAACAATCCATTTCAGTGTCATGCTTTGTTTGTTCCAAGTTAAAAGATAATCTCCAACAATGGCTGTCAGTGTAATCCTTAATGAGCAAACACTAATCTTCGATTAGAAAGCTTTATGTTGCTCTTTAATCAATTGAGAAGGCCACAAGGTGGTGTCCATTGTAAAAGGGTCCAAGGGCCACATTTGTATCCAAGTCGAATGGAGGGCCACATCTAAATCCATCATTTTTTTTTTCAATTCAAAATCAATTTATTTTGAATGGAAATGTGGATGTGTGGTGCACTATGCTTTTGTGAATTAAGATGCACTGCAGCCCTATTATTTCAAATGGGCTGCGTGCCACAACACTCCTCAATGAGTGAAAACATGATTTAACACTGGATACTAGATCAGGTAGGCCCTGCTCAGTAATGATGGATCAGTAAGGCCTTGCTTAGTAATTCAATCACACCCCTGAGAAGTACCTGGAGTGGTGTACATCGTGTAGATCAGCCTTTCTCAACCAGGTTGCCATAAATTTTTGCACAGTGTCATGAATTTCTCATGGTGCAGGTGGGCCAGCCACCAGCACCATGGAAATGTATGATGCTAATCCAGGACAGGTTGCATGCAGGACCTCCCCCAGCATCCGCCCGGACCTGATCCACCTCCTACTCTCTGCCATGCTGCCACAGCTGCACTGTGGCCAAGATTGTAAGGTAGGACACTGATGGGAAGGGGCCCTGGAGCATCACATAAGTCGATTTCTTCAGCAAAATGAAGGTTGCATTTTTACATTTCTCATTTGCAATATTTTTTTACTGAAGGTAACAAATAAGATACAACACTGCAAAGAGTTCATTACAATATATTTCTAGCTTACAGGCAAAGATACAAAAGTATTACTGTCTAGTCTTAAAAAGAGAAGTTACAGAGAGTGATAGGTCAAACATACTGTATATTATAGTCATTGAGTGGCTGTATATAAAACAGTGTGGAAATGAGTAACAGAACTATGCTTGTTATGTAACAGAGAACATGTAGAACTAACAGAAGAGTAGGAAGTGATAAATTGTATAAAGTATCTTTGGAGTATTTGCAAAATGCGAGACGGGATGTGTATGTGCAGGTCCCAGAAAGGTAGATGATTTTCAGGAGCAGCGATACTTTTGCTGTTGCTGTTCTCCCTAGCACTATCTGGTAATGTTTCCAGGATTAAAGTGTTAATCTAGTTTGCTTTAAACAAAGCTGGGATGTTTTCTGAGTGCACGGACTCCTGGCTAAATGTGCTGTAATTTCCCAGGTAATGTAGGCTTATAGTTTCCTATATAGGAAAAAATAATAATTTGAGTGCAGTTGGTATCAAAGGCCTTTTGTATGTCTAGGGATAGCAATAGGCTGGGTCTTTGGGGGTTGTCTAGGTAAATGGATGACATGGAGTAAAGACTTCCTGTGTCCCTCAATGGACAAAAAATTTAAAAATCTTTTAGCGCTTAAACTGTATGTAAACCCTAACAATGAAGTTCACTGAATTGCTCCCTTTGGAAAGTGTTTTGTTATACTGTATCTGTTCAATAAGTGCATACAACTACCTGATGAACCTGCCAACTCATCAATGTTCCAGTACTGCATTTTATGAAGGTAAGGGTTTCAGAAGTGGAGACAGACCTTAAGGGATCTTTCAAAAAAGTCATCCGATATCTCTGAAGGATACTCAAATCCATAATCCAGGCAATATTCGATTACAAGAAATCACAATACCAATTTACAACAAACACTGCACCTTTTATTAAACAGGAAGCCTACAAAAACGGGCTTCACTTATAAAATGTGGCCTCTTTAATAAATTACTTCAGTAAAATAAAAAATAGAGAGAAGATGAACAGTAACCATGTTATGAAGCCTTGCAAGATCTCTCTTCTTTTCTATTCCTCTTCGTTGGTGCCGGTCTTAGCAAGCTGAAATAGAAAATAACTCTAGTGAGGAAAGGCTGGACACTGATCAGCACTATGCTCACTGTGTGATCATATAATGTTATTTACAGGTTCACTTAAAGGGTATCTATGTTCAAACACTGAAAAGAAATATGCATGTCGGTATTGAATTTCCATAAAATCTATTACCCTCCTCATTACCATATCAATCTAGAATTTTAGAAACTTGCTTATTGAAAATGCTCATAGGATGTGCTTCCTTAACGCACTGACAACATTTTAATCAGTCCTGTGAATATGCACTTATGTCAAAACTTACAGAGCCTGGCCTCTGGACTACAACTGTGAACATCGAACAATGTAACGTTGCTGGAAGCAATGCATGATGGGATATATACTGCATCACATCAAGCAGCAGGAAAAGAGATGAAAAGCACACTGGGAATCCATGAAGTTGTTGAAAGTGATGGGCAGATGGAAAGCAACGCACACTACTAAAAAGGGATGGTTTCAAGTAAGCTTTGATTGCATTATAAAAAGAAACTCTATTATGTATTCCTATTACAATGTTGATGTCATAACAGGATAGCATATGCTGGGACTTTAGAACTCCTTTAATGCAGGAAAAAAAAATGTAAGTCTGAATAACTGATGCCCATGCAAAGAATACAGTGGCATAGGGTATTCAGACTTTTGTTGTAACCCCAACTATGTTGCTAAAGGATCACTATTTTAGATTTTTCACAAACATACAAAAATGGACTTGCAGGCATAGCCTTCACTCTACGCAGCTAACAGGGAGAAAAAAACAGCACCACCAGCAAGTCCTTGGCAGTGAATTTTATTCTCCCAGGTATGTTTGCTTATTCCTATGATTTACACCAAAACACTCATCCATTATAGCCTTGCCCTATTCATTCTAAGGCACTTAACACACTAGCAATCCTGTTGCGGCAACTTACCAGTAGAAGGATTGCTAAGATAGCAAAGTAAACCGCTCACTTCCTTGTATAGCATCACAAATAAGTCTTAATAAATTCTTGGCATGTCACAGTGTACAGCAAGAGTATAATTAAAAGTAAAGCCTGTAGCTTTCAAGTTTATGTTAAGTCTCCAATTAGAAATCACACCTGGCTATTTAAAAATATTTCCTATGTCTCATAAGCAGTTACATTCCTATTAATAAAGCTTCTGTTTACAGTAAATTGTACCTCTGTCGCAGGCCCTCACATCACCATATGTGCTCTGCTCTCCTTTCAACTTTTACCCCCAAGTGCAGGGGTTTATGGCTGCATTGACTATGGGCTGGCAATGGCCTGACATACGCTTAGTCAGGGGAACATAGTCTAGCAATGTAACATGTTGCAGTTCTGACAGCGAGACTCCTGCTAGGAGCCACTGGTAATCAAACGGAGCAGGACTGGGCAGGAGGTGTGTCAGCCACGCTGTCTAAAGGTAGCTCCAATTAGAAAGCGACAGAAAGCAAACTGACCATGCCAGCACGGAGCTGCTTCTGTGCTTGGCTTGGTCAGAAGGCAGATGGAAGAGAAGGGAACTGGCAGAATCACCAGGTATTTGAGGTCATTCTCAAATGTACAGAAAAAAACCTGGTGCATTCTCATATTTGTTACTATGGTAGAGGAATGCATATATGTAAATGTCATTATTATGGTTTACATACACTTTAATTGTAAAAAAAAAAAAAAAAAAAAAGTCCTTGAGCTCCAATCAATTGACTTGTAAAGTCTGCCCAAAATGACAGTATCTGAAAAATGTTCAGTAAAGATTGATTTGGTCCCCCTTTCCCTGCCCCAACCCAGTTTAGTGTTTTGGTAGGTGCAAAGGTATGAATATTTAGAGGCTAATCTGAGATAGAGTTTTACACTGGCAGGTCAATGGGGGAGATGCAGTAGGGGGACTAAGTATGTTGGGTTTTTACATTTGCTGGTTATAGATCAGCGGAACAATGGCTGGACTGTGCGAGACATATACACACAGACAATAACCATAAAAAGGCACCTGACTGTTATAAGCTGACCCTGGGCAGCAAGGAAGGTGAAAGCATTTTCAGAGCGAGTTGTGGTCTCTGAAAACTTAACATGGAAAATAGATCTCCTGTTTAGTCCACAATAACCTTAACCTGTTCAGTTATATATTACTGCATTTTATTTATTTTTTTACCATAACTGTCTTCATTTCAACATACTGTTTTATCTTCAAATGTACAATTAAATAATTTCTACTTACATGCTGAATTTATAGGAATCATAGAACCCATCAATTTGATAAAGTGAGCCATAAAAAGAGAAAAGAGAAAAAAGTATGCAATAAGAAGTCAGTTACATATAATGCAAACTCCGCTTATCACATAGTTACATAGTCACAACATCACAACACACATCACATCACAACATTACAAAACCTTCAGCTATTACCTTAATAACATCAACCCAGTTCCATCCCCGTGGCAGTTCACCTTTATGATCTAGAAATACAAACACACCAGTTATTTTATCACACCCCTGCAGTCTTACAGACTCTAAAATCTAACACTACCACAACAATATTAGGGCTGCAACAACTAATCGACATAATCGATTATTGAAAAAGTTGTCAACTTTTTCAATAATCGATTAATCGGCTTCCGATCAGTTGGCCCTGTTCATGATTAACCGATTAATCGAACTTGATAATCGGCTAAATAATCGATTTTGAAAATAATCGTTAGCTGCAGCTCTAAACAATATTACAATACATTTCTATTCGGTGGACATTAGTGGTAAAGGTTGTTTTATAAATGCTGCAGAGAGGAAAAGCGGTCTGCATTGCCTACAGCAGCCAAAGTGCAGCTCTTATATTTACAACTTCAAAAAACTAAACTGCCACATGAATGTCCATACTGCAGCAAAACAGGTACTTTTTCCCCATCAGAACCAAGTCAGGATTGTGATTTACATGAGGTGAGCTATAACGGAGACTAAGACAGGGCTAAAATGGTCATGCACTAGAAAATGAATTAGCCTTTAGGGTTTAAAGTCTTTATAAATGAAGTACAAAACAGTGGCTACCCATTGGATAAGCTCCTCTTTGAGGCTTATGAGATTGCTTGATCTGAGTGTGGTGGCACATTATTTCTTCAGCCTATGTGCTCCAGGAATAACAGTGTGAAGTTCCAAATGGTAACAATAAGCTATGGCTAATTTCAAAGACAGAAACGTTACATTGCAGCTGCTTTGTCTTTACTGTGCAGCAGAAGTGCTTACTTCTCAATTGCTGTTGTAAGCCATCAGACCACTTCCATGGTGGTTGAAGAAGCCCAGTAGGTTTACCATTAATCACCCATGCAATATGGGGTGAATTGTTGACTACAGAGAATCTGGTTATCAGGACCATTCTTTTGGTTGTGATCGATATCTGTCCTTTTCTTATTTAATTTCCTCAACTGACCATTTTTAAGAGAGGCATTCCAAAGTTTACACATGTTGTGTCTCTAAAGACATTTGTGCTTTGTATCAGGCAGGCATAACAGGCCAAAGTGAACCTTTGAACATTCACGTATCTTAAGCAATAAATGAGCTTTAAAACAAGCCCGCACTGCCCTTGGTAGCTGCAGGCAGTGTGGAGAAAGTCATCATTTTGTGTTTACAACAGAAGCACTGAAATCAATCAACTTATTCATCAGCTCAGTTCACCTTGTTCCTACTTCCCAGAGCACATGTGTGTGTGTTCACATTAGCGATCAGAGGACTAGAGTTAAAGTGCCCATACACCTTACAATTATCTGCAGATTTTCTGTGGTCAGATGGAAAAAGTGCAACAGATGGCCCAGGTGGAGATTACTCCATCCACACAGTTAAGTGTAGATGGAGGAATCTGTTGCACCTTTTCCATCTGAACACCGAAAATCTGCAGATAATTGTAAGGTGTATGGTCAGCTTTACTGGGAGAGGGTAGCATGGTGAGCTGAGCTGCTGGCAGGACAATTTGTATGACATCAATGCTTCTGCCGAGAGCCCTTAAAGATGAATTGCTCCACATTACAGAAGTCACTGAGGGCATGCTTTCAATCTCAGTTGCTGCCTGGGAATATATGCAAATACTTAAAAGTCTATAGCCTGAGGACAGGTTCACTTTTATCCTCTTTCAGCTCAATCAGCTCCAGGCATTCAGAAATATTCTACCCCCTGTGCCACACTTTGTCATACTGAATTTGCTAGGTATAACTACCAAAAGCTTTGATGTTTACACCCTTCCTACTACCCTAAATTGGACGTGAATACGCAATTCCTGAACTGAGACAGGAGGGTAGAGTGGATATGTATTACTGTTCGGAAAGGAACCTGTTTTTTTTTGCCAGCAGAGAAGCCTTAACCCATAGCTATTCACTGCTCTGTTCCGAGTCAAACCCTGGAAAAATGGAAAGGATGAAAAGGAAACTCTCTGTTAAGCATAATGAACAAGTTTTCTATCTGATCAATAAAGTGTAACTGAAGCCAAAACTTTTTTTTTTTGAAGTTTTGGATAGAGTGGCGAAGTAGTATAACATCTGTCCTGCTGTAAATGCTGACTGTGTCCCTGTTAGGGCTCAGTCACTAGATGCAGTGCGTTTCGACCCGATTTTGGCCAGAACGCACTGCCTCGCATTGCGGCCGGCTCACTTTTTAGTGGGGCAGGAGGGGGTGTGGCGCCGTAGCCACGTCCTCCAGCCGCAATGCGGCACGGGATCGCAAGGCACATTGTCCCGTGCAGCGGATCGCATTGCGGCCGAAGAGCGTGGCTAAGGCGCCACTCACTTGAATGGCCCGCCACACCCCCTCCTGCCCCACTAAAAAGTGAGCCGGCCGCAATGCGAGGCAGTGCATTCTGGCCAAAATCGGGCCGAAAACGCACTGCATCGAGTGTGAATGAGTCCTTAGGGAGATTCACCCTCTTTATTTGTCCTGTGACTGTTATCACTAAAAATGTAAGAAAATCCACAATTGTGGGTGGCCATCAGACAGGTATAGATGGGAAATCTTACAATAGGGACACTATTTCCGATTACCACCAGGAACTTTCCTCTCTTTTGGAGGGATTACCTCTAACTTCCTGCTGTGGCTATCAGACAGGAAGTAAAGGGAAATCACCCCAATGGAACATAGATGGCAAAAAAAGCTGACGGGATGTAACCGCCCACCTTGCTCTATCCAAAACTAACAAAAAATGTTTTGGCTTCAGTTCTACATTAATTGCCAAGATATCATCCAGGTGGTATGAAATTGTTTTTACAATGACCTCACTGCTGCTTTTAGAGGTATCCCATCCAAAAGGCACATACCTGTTTTGTCTGCTAGTTTACGTTTTTGTGCTTTTGTCAACTGCTCCTTTTTATCTTTTTTCTTACTAGATAGAGTTAGGTTTGTTGGTTCTAAGGCGCCGTCACTTCCTGCTAACATCTGGGAAGAAAAATAAGTTATACAGACATTATTTCAATGTCTTTTCAAATTTAAAATAACCTGGGAGGATAGAAATATGAATGCTACAGTGGCAGACTCGTTCCCAAAAAACAGGCTTAGCGGCTGTCAATGTGATCTTGGCTTCACTATTTTGTGAGTCACTGACATGGATTAAGCAGGTATGAGCTCCTGCTCTGCACACTTGTTCCGGGGAGGCGACTAAATAGGCAGTGAAGCCAGAATAAGGATGAAGGTCCCAATACCTGCACTTCTAAAGAGAACTCCTTTTTCCTTTACATGAATTACAGTAGTTATGCTAGAGTCACCCCCAGTAATCAGTCATCCCCAGCTTGACATGTTGCAAGAAAGATTATGTAATAGCTTGGCAGCTTCAGATTAAAATGAAGAGGTACATTTTTATCAAATGAAATCATAACATGCTTGTATAGCAGTTAAGATATGTTTGCATATTTTTTTACTTTAGGAGTACTTTTCCCTTAAAAGCAGATTGCCATATTTTCATCCTCACAGACTGCCCACAAAGGTTTTACAATTGCATGTACTTTTTGGCCTCATTCACACGGATTGCACAGCCATACAGTGTGAGCGTTCACAATGGATAGCTGGGTGCAGCCTCGTCCTGTCAGATGTATAGGAGGCTGCACGCAGCTATCTGGCCTCCCAAACTTGCACATCCATACAGGTACCTTGGTCACCTCCGAGGATGCATGCAGCACCTGTCTCTCCCAGACGCAGGTCTCTGCACAGACGTGCATGCTGTACGGCTGTGCACGTCCATGTGAATGAGGTCTTTGACTCAATTGCATCTTAATAAAAATGTGGTTTACCACTTCTTTAGTTCTAAATACTTTACTTTGTTACCCCAATTATAACAAAACGTTTTGCACAAAAAAAAAAACTAATTGCGGAAATGCTTATTTAATCAGGCAAGGAGCGGTGTGCACAGTGCCATAGCTCACAGCAATCATTTAGAGATCTGCACTGGTAAGGTTACAGAAAACTGAGATCGGATTACTGTAATGTACATACCATCTTGATTCATTCCACTGCCTCATTTAAAAGCCACTGTGTCCCCTCACGAGGCAACAGCCTAGTCTGGTCGTAAAGGAATGAAACTTCAATGTATGCCTCTAGTGGAGAAGGTTTAGTATAAATCTACTCTGAAGAGCTGATGACCTCTTGTGGTCAATAACTGAACTCGCAAGGTTAAAAAGGTCTAGCAGGTGTGGTTACTTACATGTTAATTACAGCAACAAACATCCAGTCTATTAACTGATATCCTGAAATTATTTTTTTAACTACGGCATAAGTTAAGCTGGGCATACGCTTTAGGATTTTGAAATCACTCAAGCATGGATACAGGAAACTCCAGGAACTGTCTGCAGTCACTGTTCAGTTGACAATTTTCAACCCAGCTCCTTCAACCCATTGGTGGCCCTGGTGTCACCACCTGGCTCGACAAGAGTCAATATTTCATTTGACTTGTATCGAGCAGGGTGGTGCTGACAGGACCACCGAGGGATTTCATTTAAAACCAATTTAGCAGAATAATGCCAAACTTAGATCCGTGTATGGCCAGGTTTACAGAAGTAGAAAGTGAGGATCACCAGCACTCAGCAAAATACATTTGCTGAGTGCTGGTGATCCTCACTTTCTATTGATTGACACGGACCCATCTGCGATTATCACTACAAGCAACGCCATTGTTATTGGTCTTGGATGCTGTAAGGAGTGCAGGGGGAGAAATCGCTATACTATGAGGTTTACAGAAGTGACGTGGGGGTCACAGTAGGAATCCATAAGAGCTTCAGGGGGGACCCAGGAGACTGACACTCTGACCGCAGACATCGGGGGACCATTTCTCATGAATGCATTCAGCAGAATCGGCAGCAGTAGAGGTATTTGCTTAATTGTTGTACAAGGAACACCTTGCTGAGTAACTTTGATATAGCAACAGAGTTGCCTTAGAACAGAATAACAGTACCCTTACACAAGGATTCATTATGAATAAAGTGGAATGTATGGAAAAGAAAAAAAACTGTACCCAAAACTAAAGGAAAGCATTTGGGCATTAGATATACTTGAAAATCCTTATGTCTGGAATCAATATTTGGAATAATGATCTACATGTCAAATACTCACTATACTGTTGTTAAATGGCTGGTGATGTTCCATAAACTCATCCTTATTGTCTTTGGCATACTCAAATAAAGTATAAGTCATGGCTGTACCGAGGTTGGCTTCCGCCTGCTCTTGTAACTTGTTTGTAATGCCCTGTTTGACAGGTGGGGAGCTGGGACAAAAAAAAACAAAAAACTATAGTAGTAATAATAATAATAAACAATAATAACAATGCATATGTCAAAAATACAAATATAACAAAGAACTAAAAAAATATGCACTTACATCTGATTGTTAAAAAATGCATTCATGGATATATTAGGTGCAGTTTCTGGATAGGTTTCTGGCCAGGATATTTCAAACAAAAAAGCCTTGGAGTCCCCCACATCACCAACCTATAAGATATAAGAAAACCATGGATTATCCTAAAATTATATCTTAATAGTAAGGCCCTTGCTCAACATAAATCTAAAGCAGGTTGTACAATCAGAATGCGAGTTTGCATGTTCTCCTCCCACACACCAAAGACATGGTTATTGGCTCTTGTCTAAATTGGCCCTGTATGCGAGATAGGGACTTTAGACTGCAGACTATTCTAAGCCCAGAACTGATGTGAATGTACACTATGTAACGGTCACTGCGTCTCCTTGAGGAAAGGACCCTGCTCGGCCCCTGAAACGTTGGCAGTTTTGACCTATGTGACATCATTTGCAATAAACGTTGTTTTCTTTGTATTTCGGAGTGCTGGTGACCTATCTTTATATTTGTGCAGTATCTAAAGTGCTGTGTAAATTGTTGGCACTATATAAATACATGGGCTGGTAATGAATAACATTTTCGTGTTCGATTAATCTAAATTTTTTTTAATCGATTCATTATAACCCACATACAGATCCAACTACATTGGCCTATACACATACAGCACAGCAATGAAGTAATAAAATGAACTAGGATCACACTAATCCAGCATGTTATTCCTCTCACGTGCCCCACTCAATATGGCCGCCGCTTGAGTGGGGCAACTCAGAATAATAACGTGCTGGATTACAAATGTATTTACATAGTATAGTAAAACAGCAAAGCCCTAAGGGTGATTTAAACATAAGTATTAGCTTAATATCTGAAGTAGCAGCACCTGTCCATTCCATGTAAGGACCTGACTGCAACATAATATCAGTAAATTTCAATGGGCACATTACACGTCACCGCATCTCCGACGGGACTCCCGGAAGCCGGCGGAGAGGTGAGTCTTTTCATTTTCGATCAAAAGAATTTTAATCGATCAAAAAGTTTAACGATTAATCGAGGCATTCATCGTTAATTTCCCAGGCCCTAATAAATACTTGTATTGAATAATAAACATGTTGCAACATTAAAACCGAATTGTAGCTTCCCAAAAATGATTGCAATCAAGTCAAAATATTAAGTATTTTTTTGTAATGTCTGCAGCGGTCTGACATGTTCCCTGCTTTGTCACAACTACAGCTCTACAATCAGCAGAGTGCGTAAGTGTTTTCCCACTTAGTAGTGAGTATAGGGCCTGGTTTAGGAAAAGTAGAGGGAATTGATGCATTGTGGTTCCTCATAGCAAAAAGATTCTGGTTTCATTCTTCCAGCTCCAAAATCATAGCTCACATTCTGTGCTAAATGTACAAATGTTCTTTCCTTCAGTTCCCTGAAATAGATCCCAATTAGTAGATATAAACACAGAGAATCAAGTTTTACCCGATACTGGAAAACTGTGGGCCCGAGCTCCTTGAAACTGTCATCACCTTCATAGATAGACCGAAGAGCTTCCAGCTCCATCTGAGGAAAAACAAATAATGATAAGATGGTTAGAGAATGTCAGTGCATTGCTAGAAGATTGGCGCTCAGAATGTATGCAAATCCAGAAATCCAGCCACGAACCAGGTGATGGCACAAGTAGAAGAGCTTGTCTGACATGATGAAGAGGGCAAACCTCACTTTCTGGAATGGAATCAGCTCTTGAAGAAACATTCCCTCCTGAGGCAGCTCATTCCATTCTGTTCAGTAAACTGAGGTTCATACAGCCAACCATATGGCACTCCAAAAAGCTGATGCAACTTCTTTATTTCATTAAAATGGGGTACAGCAACATGAGTGAGATCTCTAATACCTTCCAAGCATAATGCTGCTTAATCAGACACTATGATGAAGCGCAGATATGAGTGAAATGCGTTAGTGGTGAGACCCATTTTGCTGTCCCCTAGTTTTTTCAAATAAAGTGCATCACATTTTTTGCAGTGCCGTAAATGGGCAAAGTGACAGATTGGTAATATACATGATTAGATGAGAAAGGGACATAATAGGAAAGCAGGAACACAACCTGACAATTGTGCGTGTGTGTGTATTGGGGTTGTGGGGACAGTGCTCTGGCTCCTGCAGAATTTTCCTCTAGCCCCTGTTCTGTACAGGGATACGGACCTTTCATTATGGAGCTGGAGGAAGTTATGGGGCTACAAGAGCAGTGACATCACTGTGGCTGTGCTCAATTCGGAACTATGAGTCCCCCTCCAACAGTGGCAGATAAGGACTTGTGGTCTCTCCAGTCACAGATCCCATGAATGAACGCCACAGCTATGCAGGCAGAGACAAATTTAAAAATTCCAGGAACCTGCGGGGAAGAGCACCCCACAATTCAGGTAAGAGGAAGCGATTTGGAGGTGGGGCACCATGTTCCCTAAATATGGGTGTACCATGGAACACGGTATGAAAGATTAGCCTTTAAAAGACTTGGCCAGAATAGCTGGAGACACAAGAGCGCTGACATAGGCGTAGAGTAGCTGCAAACACACAGCAGGCTCAGGCTGTCCATGTCCAGCAAGCAGCTCAGTGTTTGGGAGAGTTTATCAGGCTACAGAAGCCACAAGTACACAATGTGGGAGCTCACCTCTTGGTCCTCATTAGCAGCCATGATATGAGTAAGGCGGCTCCCACACTGAGTGGATAGCGCTGATCTCCTAGCGCATGGATGACAGTTCAGTGACTTCTACCATCTACACAACCAGCAGCCACTGCTCCCAGTCCACACTTCCCCGCACTGCGCATGCACGTTGCCACACATCTTACGCCAGGACGCGGGGCGGCCATCTTTATTAAGGGAAAAAAATAAGTCTTTAAAACATTTACAAACAGTGTGTGTATGATATTTATAACATTTACTTGCTTCCTAACGACTCTTGCCTAAATACAATGTAAATAGTTGAAGAGTATTATAGAGCGCGACCAAAATAATGTTGCTGTAGCAGCGCCAAAAAAAGGCTGGATTAAATATATCGTTATATGCTTCTTTTTAGGAATGTAGGGGGGTCACAGCCAAAGGGACGTTTATTGTAGTTGGGGGTATGTTACGAGGAAATGGAGACAATTGCCCAAAGTAAATATGGAGGCGGCGGATGTCCCAGCGGGCTGTGCGGCAGTGTCAGCTGACGGCCTGGCTGAGGTGGAGGAGTAGAGTGCAGATACAGGGTGATATTTCGGTGATCTGTGCAGTGTAAGAGGGGAGCTGTGCACTGACACCCTGCACACTGGAGTCATGTACGGATGGGCTGACACTGTCTTCTGATCAGGTAATATAAACAAGTGATAATATATTCCTTGTGTCTGCCATCATGTGTACACCCTGCAGCCTTCCCTGGCCTGGTGCAGATCATTAATGAAGACTACCCCTGAACCCAGGCCAGCCATAAACAACGTTAATGTAATTGTGTATTCAAATGTATATTACATAGAACTAGCATAAGATGCTGAATCTGCCATCATGACAGCCTCCTATCATCTCTTATCAATGAGAGCCAATCAGACTGTGCTGCATATACATGTGGTGACAGGGGGCTGACTGAGCAGAGGTGACATCAATGGGTTACTGTTCCTTTATTACCATGTAAGTAGGCTGGGGAGGTGACAACACTTTATTCCTTAACTCTAATGGTAGAGTGGTGTCACACTCCTGGCTGTCTGTCTGACAGAGGTGTATGAACCATAAGAGTGGCTGGGCAGAGATAGAAACCCTACAGGTCACGGATGTGTATTTCTCTGATTGCCAGGACTTTAACCTTAAAGCGTATCTAAACCCCCCCCCCCAAACATTGAATGTAGTACAACCCCACAGCCCCTAAATGAGGTGGCTGCATTTGATGACTTTTTCAAGCCTTTTCCCTTTATTTTCACCTTGGGATCCTGCCAGCAACACACTTCCTCGTCTAGGGTGACAACACTCACTTATCTATGATGGAGCAGTACAAAAAAGGACAGAAGGGCGCCCAACCTAGTGCAGATTATTTTTTATTTTAAAAGACACAAAGATAAAATTGCAATGGAGGGTCATAAAACAGCTTGTGTGGATGTTTTTGGAAGAAACAGCAGTTGAGACTGCAATCTGCCTGTGTGCCACTGTGGTGTGGCGGCGTTGACGAGTTTCCGGGGTCAAGCCCCCTTCCTCAGAACGTTCAGCAATTTTATCTTTGTGTCTTTTAAAATAAAAAATAATCTGCACTAGGTTGGGCGCCCTTCTGTCCTTTTTTGTATTCCAGTTTTACAGTTTCTCCCGGCTGAAGTGGGGCCGCACCCCTAGTTGTTTTTACTTAATCATCAGGATCTGAGCACAGCGCTTTAACTTTACTATATTTGTATGAAGGAGCAGTGTTGTCACTGTTGAATGCTCTTCTGATTCACTAGGCCCTGTCTGATCTATGCATTTGCAGAGAATCATTTTTTTCTTGGTGAGTACCTTTGTTTTTGGTCTGCAGTCTACATCTGCAGCGAAAGCCAGAATCAACTGATATCACATTCGAAAGTGTAAAAGGATAAAGTTAGATGATATGGATTCATGAAAAACACAAAACCGAGCACACTAACCTAGTGTATTACTATAGACACAAGCTAAGTAATAAGGGGTGTAAGAGATGTACTCGCAATGTAAATAATATGTTAGATCTTAACGTTCTGAGCCATGAAAGTCTCTCCAGTGCCAGCAGTCACTTATGCAGGCAGTCATCAATTTTACTCCAGGAATAGGCTATTTGCCCATGGCAACCAATAAAAAAGGCTTTGTCTTGAGGATCACTTTAAACATGTATTATTTTCTTTTTTTTAGGTTTGCACCCATATTTAAAAAATGAGCCCCACACAGTGGGATTTCCCTGTGGAACTATGCTGTCGTCCGATGGCCTTCGTGACTCTTACTGGACTAGATGTGACATACAATGCCATCCACAGAGCAATTTGGGACGCATTTTGTGCCAACAGAAGAGCAGACCGAGTGCCCATCTCATTTAAGGTCCTTCCTGGTGACCATGAATATCCAAAATGTAGGACAAAGGTAGGCGTATTGTCTGATTTACCACAAATATTTAATGCTTAGGGTTAAATAATAATTGTATTCTTATTTCTTCAGAGAACATCGTATGAATGGTACATTCCTAAAGGCATTCTGAAGACTGGATGGATGAATAAACATCTCACTCTGGTGCCTGCTTTGGTTGTTGTGTTTTATGAACTGGATTGGGACGAGGCCCAGTGGAAGGAGAAGCAATTAGAATGTTCAACCAGAGTAGAAATTGTGAGGTAAAGACCGTGGACTATTTCTGTCTATAATCTTGCAGATTTTCTGTGGTCAGATGGAAAAAGTGCAACAGATTCCTCCATCTATGCTAAACTGTGTGGATGGAGGAATCTCCCACTGGGCCAAGCTTCAGTATCTTGCTAGTAGGCCCCGCTGGCTCTCAAAATGCCTGCATCCAATCAGATTGTTCAGGTATTTTGAGAGCCATCAGGGCGACTAGCAAGATACTGAAGCTTGGCCCAGTGGGAGATTCCTCCATCCACACAGTTTAGCGTAGATGGAGGAATCTGTTGCACTTTTTCCATCTGACCACAGAAAATCTGCAGATAATCTATAGGTGTATGACCATCTTTAGACCACGTGAGCCACACCTGTAAAGGCCCCCCTGACTGGTTTTAAAAGAAGGGTTTAAAACAGCTGTCACTAAATGATGGACTGAGAGGTGGTTCTGTTAGGACAGCGATTGCCAACCTGCACTGCATTATGGCCTGGTGACGGTGAGTACACCGACCTCCAAAGCTGTTGTTTTCACTGCCGGCCATAACCTTATGTAGGCCCTCCCTCTGCGTCAATGATTGGTTCTAATACACACGTGCGTGTTAGGCATTCATCTGTATGTAAATGGGAGAGGGGGGTGGGGACCTCTACCAAAAACGAAATAAACAGTGTCATCCGCCACAATCGGCACATTAGCACTGTGCCTGGGAGCACACACCAGCAACCATACATTGCAATGCAGCTGCTGGTTTGAATGCAGCCTAAATGGTGGACTGAGTGACTGTTCTGTCTGCACCACAATTTGGACCTCGGCTCGATGAAAATTGTATTCACCGGACCTCCTTAAATTTTTAATTCACTACCCCTATTTTATAACTTACAATGTATGTCTCACAGATATATATAGATATATATATAGATATATAGCACTATGGATGAATGAAGGTGAATGTACCATGCATTGTAACACCCTGTTTCTTATTTAGGCAAAGCTTGCAAGGAAGAAATACAAAGGTTGCTGTGGTTTTAATTCAGAAGAAAACCCCATTACCACCAGGTGCCTTTATGTGTTGTGTGCTGTATAATGATATTAGGCTAAAACTATACTTCTGATATGTATCACTGTGACCTTCTGTGATGTAAGGACATTTCAGTGGTTTAAATAACTTGGCCATTTGGCACGGTACCACTGATGTCATATTTAACAATTGAAAGAGAGGCATTAATTAAGTATTGGGTTTCTGTAAATGCTTCTTCTGTAAGACAGATTCACATATTGTAAAACATATTCTGTCTAGCATCTGCACTTCCTATTTCTATTATGTGATGTCTCAACCTTGATTTAGAATTTTTAAAGAAAGCATGTACTAAGAGGAAAATGTGCGCTGCCATTACTAACCCCCTCTTAGCCCTCGTTCACACCTGAACGTTTTGTAGCGCGTTCTACGCTCGACAAACGCTCTACAAAACGCTCAAAAATATAAATTCCATTGTATTCAATGGTCTCGTTCCCACCTTGACGTATTTTCGCCCGTCCCTAACGCGCTACAAAACGGCCCACGTCTGAAAAGGTACAGGTACTACGTTGGGCCGTTTTGTTGCGCATTTCCATTGGGATACAGCCAAGTAGCCTTCGGAAACGCGCGTTTGTTGCGCAACTTTTTACCGTGAATCGCGGTAAAAAAAACGCGCGACGGTCGCGCATATGCAATACGCCTAGGTGTGAACGAGACCTTAAAACTCTCCTGAAGATCAGTGACACAGCAAAAGTGTGCATCTGGTACTACCAAAAGGAGAGCTGCAATGGCAGCCTACACATTTCACTAAGTACAGTTTTCTGTATACACAAGCATTGGGCACCCAGCATTTATGTGACAATGACAAAGGCAGGGCTGCCGGATCAAAGCCCAGATCTGCAGCTTGTGGTCTGCTCCCTGTGCATTATTTACAAACACTCCGCAATCACTGAGCATTTGTATACCGATCTCCACCCTGACACTTTCAGCTGTCACAGGATGCTGAGCGGGGCAGTGCAGTAGGGGAGCACGGCCTCCTGTGACACGCCGCTCACAGCGCTCTCCCCCCTGCCCCACTCTGCCTCCTCACAGTTTCTCTCCTCCCTGCTGGGCGCTGCATCAGACGGGACACAGAGCAGCGTTCAGCGAGGAGGAGAGAAATCGGGGATGCACAGCAATTTTGGCCGAAGGATGGTACTTTCAGCATTTTGCCCATAGTACCATTTTTGGCCGATATGTTTCGCTGGCTGAAATTTCGGTGCATTCCTAGTTTTGAATAGATATGAGTAGGGAAGTTAAGACCCCTGTCAGAATTTCCTTCTTTTTTTTTTCTCATTGTTGTCTGTGTCCCATCAGGTAGATTTCCTGTTTCAGAGACACAGCAAGCATGGATACTCCATCTTAGACAGTTGCCACCAGGTTTCCCTATTAGAACCTCCTGTTACTGTGACAACTCAACATTTCCATCATTTTCTGTACCGTAGACAATGCTCACTGGGACAAAGAGAGAGTAAATCTGGCCACAGCAATAAAAACTGACAAGGGTTCTAACCCTTCTCCATTCTATCTAAAAGAAACAATGAAACTCCTTTGCACTATAGAGAGTCCCTGTTCTTTGTGTGTTTTTATTATAACCATTCTTATTTCTGTTATTGTCTGTCATCCAGGTGAAGATCTGGTTGCTTCAGAACGAGCTGCCTCTCTGTGCAATGCCTGTGATCTCTCGGGAAAATCTCTCTTCGTGCTCCCACACACTGACCACTTGGTGGGCTACATTATTCGGTATGCAGTTCTTTCCGTTCATGTCAGATACTTTATCAAAATCTGAAGGAACATGGAGTTTTCCCCATGACAGCCAATCAGATTTCAAGCAGCATGCACTGCTACAGATAACTAATGGCTGCTGTGTGTAACACCTCTGCTGTCCCTTTCCTTCAAATTCATTGCAAAAACCCAAGTGTGCCCATTTATATTACATGACTGTAATTGTATGTAGATTGTGCACTCTCACAATTATTCTCCCTCTAGGTTAGAAAATGCTTTTTATGAACATGCGCAGACCTATTACTACACTGAAATCAGAAGGATAAAATCCCATAAGGAGTTCTTAAATAAAACCACTCATCAGGTAAGGTGATGATTGTGTAGCTACCATTGCACCATATAGGTGAGTCTGGTGATTTAGGTACAACTCTATCACATATATGTATGTGTGCCTATATATTATTAACAAAGTATCCTGACAAAATGATTTTAATATAGTAATCCCAAGGCCTGAAATGAGCGCCATCCAGTCAGCTGTTTTCAGTTTGATTGGGTGACGTGGCAATGTTTGTAGGTCCTGCTTGACTTTCTCCTGGGGGCACAATTGATCGGACAGGTTGGAAAGCCTGTTCTGATTGCTATTGTTTGCCAGAGAGATGAGCAGTGTCAGCAGAGTCTGGCCTTTTTGCATAAGAACAAGGCAGGTCACCACCAGGGAGCACAGAATACAATTGCTTTCTATGTGCTCCAGACCTGAGGTGGATTGTAGTGCATTGTGAAAAAATACAGACATTCTGCATTTATACACAACGCACCGAGTGCATCTGAAGTCACTGCAGTGCAACTTAGCTGCTGTGCATTAACTTTAGTAAAGTGTCACTTTATTAAAGGGGTTCTAAACCCTCTGGTTTTTCTGCCTATATCTACTGCTAGCAAGCAGTAGATATAGGCAAGAAGTTTAAAAAAACGCTTTAACAAGGTTTAAACTTACCTTGTTGTCGCTGCGAGCTCCCGTGCTGAGAATCAGGAACTGCTCGTACGGTCGCAAAGGATCTTGGGTCGGGCGCATGCGCAGTTTCCGATTCTCGGCCGGGAGACGAGCAGAGACGCAAGGTAAGTCTATGGATGCGTGCACCCGCATGCAGACACCGCTGACATTAACATGGGGGGGGAAGGGAAAACATTTTTTTGACTTTAAAGTTAGAATTCTTTTTTTTAACTGTAATGCCCTGAAACTGCGCACAGCTAGTGGGCTAGTATGTACAGGCCCTTAAAGATTGAGAACTGACAGTTGATACAAATAATATTGAGTGTGACCTATTAAAGTGTACTTGTGAAACCTTTCAATCTTTTCATTTTGTGTTCTAGCTGCTGTTTGTAAGGCATCAGTTTAAGATTGCTTTCTTCAGTGAACTGAAACAGGATACGCAGAATGCCTTGAAGTGAGTACAGCACTTTTTCTTGAGTACAGTATTCTAGTGGTCATGGATGGTATGCTCAGTTGTTAATGCCTGGCTCTGTGGTTGCAAAAACAAGTAAACAGTATGCTTCAAAAGAGCTTTAACTACCTCCCGGCCGGCTGTTGTAGAAAAAAACGGCAGGCCGGGATCTCTCTAGATCTGAGCGGGCGTCTTTAGACGTCCTCTCAGCCATGCCCACTTGTGCGCACGAGCGGGAAATACAGACAATTTAGAAACAGGCAGCGATGTCTGTTAACATACAAGCGATCCGCCGGCTATAAAGCCAATCAGCCCACCAGCTATAAAGCTGGCGGATCGCTTGTATGAGCTGCCGGACCGTGTCCCCCTCCCTATGTAATAGCAATAAAGTTAAGTGAAAAAAAAAAAATAGGAAAAAAAATTAAAGTTTCCAAAAAAGAAAGATTTTAAGTTACACATAAAAAAAATTTTTTTTTTAAAAGTCCCTACCCATACATACACCCATGCAAATATGCGACGGGTGCACATACCTGCGAAAACAACGATTGTGCCCATTGCGCCGCACATGTTACATATCGCAGCGAACGTCGCAGTGAGAGCAATAATTTTAGGGACATCTATCACTGATAAGACTAAACTGATGAGCGGTAAAAGCTTTTAAAGCGTTGCCTAGGGTCAATTTTGGGTATGGTAGTTTTTTCGCGGTTGCGCGCAATTTTTAAGCTTGACATATTTGGTGTCTATTTACCCGACGTGACCCCGTCCTTTATATTTTACCAAAAAATTGGGTAATAATAAATGTTTCATAACATAATGTAAAAAAAGGTTTTTTTCACTAATTTTCCTGAAATATGGTAAAAAATTTAAACCCCAGTGGTGATTAAATGCCACCAAAAGAAAGCTCTGTCTGTCCCCAAAAAATGGTATAAAATTCATTTCAGTACAGCGTTGCATGACGGAATAAATGTCAGTCAAAGTACCGCAGCGCTGAACACTGAAAAATGGCCTGGGCAGGAAGGGGGTCTAAACATCTGGTCAGCAAGCAGTTAAAGCCCACAAATAAAATGCATCTCTTTGTTTAGGTTGGAGTAGGATAGACTTACAACATCTGTCATTTTTTTAATTGCTGTGTGTAAAAACAGCAACAAAAAGCTGACCGAATTTTTTTTTTAAATAGTACTTTTGGCTGGATTTGTGCTTTAAGCGAACTCTTGTGCAGTTATACCGTTCATTGTTTTCTTGTTGCTGCCTAAACATTTGCTATATATAGGTTCTAATTTAAAAAAAAGAAATTTGATGGAGTGTGATCCAGTAAGGATTAAAAAATATCTTTTATTATTTATCATTTAAAATCTTTAACTCTTACTCCACCATGGAGGAGAGTCCATATAACAAAAGTAGACACCTATATTCAGTAGGTTCCAGAAGGACATTGGGGGGATTTACCAAAACTAAAGCAGACAAAATCTGGAGCAGATTTGCACTGCAGCCAATCAGCATCTCTCTCTCATTTTCATATCTTACCTGAGAAAACTGAAGAGAGAAGCTAAATGGTTGCCATGGGCAATGGCTCCAGATTGTGTTTGCTCCAGTTTTGATAAATTCCCCCCATTGCCATTTTCAGGCATATACAAAGTGATGGTTGTTTAAATGTTGTTACTATCACTGTATGAGCATTCATTTTAAATGTCCAGTTTATGATGTGTTGTACCCATCCCTGGCTAATAAATGAGGTTTGTTATTCAGGACTTGTATCTTGTATCTTTGTCACAAGAAAGGTGGGCTATACATTAGTTTGCGGTACCTAGACACTTGTGCCTAAATGTTTTTAAAATGTTTGCAAAAAAAAGTATGAAAAGTATGTTCCCTTCCACCCCTGTCACTTTAGTGTAAACAGAAATGTCACTAACCCCCTCTATTAAACCCTTAACATTTAACCTCTCCCCTTAACCATAACTGAGCCCTTCCATAACATTTGACCTTAACCCTGAAATGTAAGCTAATACTTACCGCCCTAAAACTTGACTTCAACCCTTGACCTCCCTTAACCTCAGGCTGTAGCACCCAATGCTGCCTCAAAGGAAGAATGGGAGAAAGGCACACGTTTCTCACACTTAAATGTCAATTGGACAATAGTTTTTAGCCTGTTTATTAATGAAATCCTCTCTGGCACCAGCAACTTACCCACTGTCACCGTGTACTCACCTCGGGTCCTGTCCCCCCACCAGCTGGTAGTCTTGCCCCTACTGTTATCAGTATGACATAATGGCTGGCATTAAAGAGAAAGCAGGGACCGCAGCTGGACATCTTCCAAAGTGGCAACTGCAGCCTTAGCGGTAGCACCAGTAGCGCCAGCTGCATCTTCCAGTGACCATAAGACAGGAGTGGACGAATAATATGGAATTAAAGACATATTATTTGTGAAGAGAAGAGAGCTGGGAACAGGGCAGGGTATATTCTCTTATCCCTCCCTCCCCTCAACACATGCAGAGCTGGAAGGAAGAAGTGAGGACGTAGGAAGTGAAGAAGATGGTGCATAGCCACAGTAGATGGGTAGGGCTGGACCCTGGCAGAAGCAGCTACTCCTGATATTTTGTCCGTGGTACTGTTCCTGCATTCATATGCTATGGTGAACATGCTGGCTGAATATATAACTTAAAAGTAAAGTGGAAGTGAAGCAGAAAAATAGAGATCACCACAGGCACTTTTACCCATAATGTGCTAGTATGTTCAGCATATATTCCCTCTCTGGAGCTCCAATCTTCATCCCAGTCTTCTCCCAGGTTCTGAGTCTTCAGCCGCTTGATTAGCCGGGTTTCGATGATGTAACTCCCGAACATGCGCACGGAAGTTGCGTTATCTCAGCAAGAATCTTGCTGAGCCTGTACACTGAGCTGAGCAGATCGCAGACAGACGGGAAGAAACTTCTAAGGCAGGATAGACTTATATCATCTCTTCTGTCATAAAAAGCCCTTCTGTAGGTACAGTGGTTGTCCTAATACCTGGCTGTATTGTACCATGCTCTTTATAACTAAAGCAAACTTATTGAACTATGCATGCTTTTGCTAAGCCACACACACTTTTCGTAGTAACGTGTTTTTTTGTCATTTGCTTGCATTAGGAATTACCGGACAGCCTATAATCTGGTTCATGAACTGAGGGCTCATGAAACAAACATGTTGGAGATAAAAACTATGGCTGGCTTCATCAACTATAAGGTGAGATGATGAATGCCAAACAGTTCAAATTTTAGGTAGTCTTTTATTCTTTTAACATGACGCTACTTCTGTTTTCCCATTGCAGATCTGCCGCCTGTGTTTCCAGCACAACACCCCTCTAGATGCCATTGCTCAGTTCAGAAAGCACATCGATTTGTGCAAGAAGAAGATAGGCAGTGCTGAGCTGTCCTTTGAGCATGCTGCCTGGATGTCTAAACAGTATGTCTAAACTGCACTGTGTAAAACAAATCACGGAATTATTCATCCAAATGGGGCAACATTGAATGTTCTCATTTGAATGAAAGTTCTTGGGCTATTGTTGTAGGCTTTTTTCTGTTACGGTTGAACGTTCTTGGGGTAGTAGGGAATGTTACATTTGCCCTATGCAAGACTACTTAAAGATCTTTGGGCAAAGTTTTATTAGCCCTTGTAGTGCGAGTGCCCAGCGTTCTTATTTAAACATGGGAAAATAATAAAATGTGCACATTTCACAAGGGCTTTATTCATGAACTTTTCATGAGTTCTGATGCATTTGCATAGCAAATTTTGTTTTTAAAATAGACCCCTATATGTTGCAAACTCTACTTCCATTTGTTGCGGTAGATGTTGTCACTGGTCCATAAACTGGCATAGAGCATGGCCACACAGCTATTGATCCCTTTTGACACAAGAGCAGTTCTTTTTAGCATGCAGAAGAAACTTGTTATTGGTCTTGAGGGATCATGGGGTTTTGTCATTAGACGAGCAGATGATTTGAATTGCGTTAAGATTGAGACAAAAGCTGACATGTTGGTATAAGTCACAGTGAGTAACTTATTTTTGTTATTTGAGGCAGCATGGTTGATCGGATTTATATTTTAGTCTTGCATTAAAGGAGATTTATGGGGAGAGTGAAATGCACTCATCCCAATAGTTAGAGCTGATGTGTGACACTGCAGCTGTTACAGGTCAGTTCTATTGATCGAGGACTGAGCAATCACATACGGCTGATTGCTCAGTTCCTGATCTTCTAACCTGCAGAAAGTGGTGCCTGTCAGTCATCACTCCCTGTAGAGATTCCCCCCTCCCCTCTCTATTCACAGCTGGCTCTGTCTTTAGAGAGGCAATATTGCGGGGATCTTTCCCAGCTCTGCGTTGTCAGCAAATAGCAGGTAATAGCCCTCTATATGCTGAGTTTTGGGTCACAGGAGGACATTAGTAAATGTCCTCCTGTTACCCTAAACAGAACTGCGGCCAAAAAAGCTTTGGCTATAGTTCTCGTTTTAATGATTTCCTGAAACTGGAGCTGGCATCAAATGTATGTGTTTGCGTGCTTGATGGTAATGTGTTTGTGTAACACAAGTATTTTATTCTGTCTCAAAGAGATTACAGTAGCCCTCATGACAATGCCTGTATTTTGCTTTTTCCCCAAAAGGCAGGCACCTTCTTTGTTCCGGGTTCATCCAGGGTCAGCACTCTGACCCTGTAATGACACAGTTCTATAAATCTTGTTGTCTACACAATGCTCCTAAATGTTCTTGGCTGTGTACACGGGTTGCCTCACACACATTATTTTTCCTTCCGTTGTCTCTCACCTTATTGCAGCCAGAAAGGTACATTGTTACTGCAGTCCCAGTAGGGGATGAGAGACTGGCAAACAGCTTTTCTTTTAGGTGCAGCACACTGATAACCTCTGTTTCCTCTCAGGCCAGGGCAGTCACTTGTTTAGCCTACTTATGTAGTGTCAGCCTATTTCTTGCCTCTCTAAATGGTAGAACATTCACCATGCAGCTGGCCATAAAAATAAGAACAATGTGGTACATTTTGGTTCAAACTGTTTATTCAATCATGTTTTCCTTTAAAGGTTCCAGGCTTTTGGAGATTTGTTTGATGAAGCTATAAAGTTGGGACTGACTGCCATTCAGACCCAAAATCCCGGCTTCTACTACCAACAGGCAGCATATTACGCACAGGAGCGCAAGCATCTTTCAGCTCTCCTATGTAATCACAATGTAAGTGGGCTTCCAGTTCTAGCTTCTTCTACTGCATGCTGGAGCGATCTGTAGAATAGTGTAACTCCTAATTTGCTTTTAAATTTGTGTTCAAATAAAACTGCTAATGTTTCAACCCATTTTCTATTTAAAGGATATATAGTCCATCGCTTCCTTTCTCAAGATACAACTGGAAATGAGAAGAGATTTCTCTACAGGAAAATAATTCCTCTCTCAGGCAGTTGTCAGTAGAAAAAGTGTTCCCTTTGGAAGAGTTTCCCTCTCTTTCTGACCTAGTGACATTATTAAAATGTATCAGGACAAATATGAAGGGCAACAAGAAAAACTATAACAAAAAAACAAAACATTTAGGCTTTAGATACCCTTTAAAGGTTCACTTTCAATACTTTGTTATAACCACTCTTAGGTTTAAAGAAATGGCCATACACACTAAGCGTTAGAACACAGTTCTGGTATATATGAGATGTTTGAGCTTACTACACACAGATCATTTCTTGTCCAGTCTCCAGTTGTGTGATATAGCAGTCAGCCTCTCCACAGACTTAAACAGTTTTATTTTAAAGTTACACTAAATTCAGGAGTTAAATCTTACAAATGTATTCAATTACCCTAACTATTAGCAAAAATCTATCTTATTTGTGTATCACTCGGCTGTAGATCCTCAAATCATCTCTGAATTGGTGCTGGCACTGTCCTTCCTTCTGGAGGGGGGCTACTTTTGTCCCTTATGGTCCCTGTGTGTGTTGTAAAGTAACCACCGCTCCAGGCTCGCTCCTGTGATGGACTACAATCTCACGTTTAGTTTACTAATGTGTATTGAGATTGTAGTCCATCACAGGAGTGAGCTTAGAGTGGTGGCTTCTTTACAACACACACAGGTACCATGGGGAACCAAAGTAGCCGCCATCCAGAAGGAAGGACAGTGTCAGCATCAATTCCGAGATGATTTGAGGATCTACAGCCGAGTGATACACAAATAAGCTATGTTTTTGTTAATAGTTGAGGTACTTGAATGCATTTTCAAGATCTAAAGAATTATGGGGAGAGTGGAGTGCACTCTTCCCCATTATTAGAGCCGATGTGTGACACTGGAGCTGTAATGCGTCGACTCTATTAATCGAAAACTCAGTCAATCTATACAGCCAATCTTTGAGTTCCCGATCTTCTCCCTGCAGGGAGCTCCCCGCAGGTATCCCCCCCATATTCCTTCAGTGCTGACTGGAGAGATGGATGGGGGAGAGGCAGAGCCAGCTGTCAATCAGACAGCAGGGTGGATCCCGACAATATTGTCGGGATCCGTCCTGGCTGCAGCAAGACTCTGCGCTGTTAGCATATAGCGGGCAACAGCCAGCTATATGCTGAGTTTTTTGGGTCACAGGAATACATAGTAAATGTCCTCCTGTGATCCTAAAGAGAACTATGGCCATAAAAGGTTGGCCCATTGTTCTCTTTTAACTCCAAACCTGACTTTAACTCCTCACTTGTAATTTGCAGGAGATATTAAACAATGTCAATATCTCGGGTCCCGTGAGGCTCCTTATGAGTACATCTTATGAATAATAGGCTTATTATGTACACCAATTTTCATTTTGTTGTCTGATTGATTATCTGAGTTACTGACAAACATACCACATTATGTAAATTTGCTGTATTTTTTTTTTCTAGCCCTCTTTGGCATATCCCAGTCCAGATCCTATGGAGACCCCTAATGGAGCCCTGGATTTCTATGGACAGCGGGCATGGAGGCAGGGAATACTAAGTAAGTAACTTGGTCATCATTTAATATTGTGTTACCAGGTGGAAATGTGCTTTCACAGCAAGTTAAATCGCTTGCCTTTCTCGTATTAATCTTTTGGGGAGGGGAGGTGGATACAGAGGAGAGATTAGTATGATTTCCAGGCCTGACCACATGGTACATCCATTACCAGGATGGTCTCGCTTTGCCTCTTGTAGTTGTGATTAAGTATGGAGGTTTTCTACTAAAGCAGTGGGGCCGTTGTGCTGGTTTACTGAAGAGCCTATTACTCTAAACCAGGGGTAGGCAACATTGGCCCTCCAGCTGTTGTGGAAAAACAAGACCCATCAGGCATTGCAAGACTGATAGCCACAGGCATGGCTCCTAGAGGCAGAGGCATGATGGGGATATGTAGTTTCACCACAGCTGGAGTGCTGAGGTTGCCAACCTCTATTCTAAAGTGAATTCATACCTTCTGTAGTCTGAAGTACACTTTCTGTATCCTTAATCCAACACAGACATACAACATTTCATTCATGTCATTTGCTCTTATTTTAATGATGCCAACAGGAAGTGGTAACAAGAGTTTGAACACATCTTTTATATGTTGCTGTTATTTATAAAAAGAATACAAAATATACGCAGATTTGGTCCGTGTGATGTCAGAACTATTGAGGCTAAAGAATTGGACAATAAGGCCTATACATGTTCTATTTCTCACGATTTACTTGCTGAGAATGTGTGGGATAAGTTTCCAAGAAACATTTCTGAAAGTTTTTTTGTCCGGAACTCATAACTTAAAGGAGAACTATGGGGTTAAGGCTTTTCCCCATAGTTCTCCTTAGGGTAACGGGAGGACACAAACTAGCGTCCTCCCGTCACCCTAGGCTCAGTATACCGCGAGCTACAGCTACTGCTCGCGGTATACTGAGACGCCGCAGCTGAAGCGGATCCCGACAATTGTGCCGGGATCCATTTGTGCAGTTAAATGAAGCAAATAAGCTGATTGGTTGCCATGGGCGACTCCTCCAGATTCTGTCTGCTCCAGTTTTTATTTTAAGAAACAATGCACCATTTATAATCAATTTATGTAATTTATGTTCAGTCTGAGTATACAATAAAAACTCATCCCAAATCCAGTTGTTTTATCAACAGAATTGTAGGAAAAGACATGGATCATCATGAGTCAAGAGAAGCTGAACTGGTTGTATGTTTATTTAAGGTATATAAACACCTGTAAAAAAATAAAAAAATAAATAAAAATGTTTAAGGTATACATAAAACCTAACAATGAACTTCTCTTGTTTTCTTTTGGCCTGCCAAATACACTATTGAAATATTGTTGCCATATCTGCTCTATAAGTGCAATAAATACCTGCCGCAAATCTAGTTAATTCCATGTTAAAAAGATGAGGAGAGAGGGAGTTGTTCTGTAGTCCTGCTTCACAGGGCAGGTTCACACCACTTTCCGGACGAGTTCTGAAACGCAGTGCATTGTGTTTTGCCGCGATTTTGCTGCGTTCGGGAGGTTTAAAAAAAAAAGAAGCTTACAATGGTCTTACAGGTGTGTTGCAGTGCGTTCCAGTGCGTTTGTATGCATTTTTATGTCTTTCTATGCGTTCCAGTGCATTCCAGACCAGACAAAATAAGACAAGCAGTGTTTTTTTGGTCTGGTCTGGAACAGACTGCGCTGCTATGAACAGAAACCAGAAATAGCATAGGGATACATTAGGATGCATTTTGGGTCCGGAAACAATCTGGTCTGGTCTGGAGATGATCTGGATGTGGTGTGAATGGGCCCTCAGGGTGACAATGCTGCACCTCTACAGATGCAGTACAGTGAGATGGTGTTGTCACCCCAGAACAGGAAGTATGTTACTGGCAGGATCACCAAGTGAAGAGAAATGAAAAAAACATAACAAACGCATCCGCCACATCTAAAGACGAGTAGGCTGCAATATATTACAGTTTTGTTCTTGGGTTTAGAGACACTTTAATGCTCAGTGATATCATTAAAGAACAGTGACATGAACAGTATCACATGACTCACGTTAGAAGTATTTCATACACGGTTCACAGGTCTGATGGGCTGCCACAATCTTCCCATGGCAGCGCTTATTGTCCATCTCCTGAGCCAAATGTTAGTTCCAGGGAAGTCATTTCAGTGCAGTGAAACTAATCATTGTCTCCCATCCCTTCTCTTATAAATAAGTCTCCCTTGCCTGCGTATGGTTTAGGTCTCATCTCCCTCTTGTGGTAGAAAACATGAGTTGGTTGAACTGGATGGACTTGTGTCCTTTATCATTGTAACTATGTAACTGTTACACTTTAAAGTGATGCTGAACTCAGGAGTTAAACCTTAAAAATATATTCTTGTACCTTAAAGTGACATTAAAGGCAGAAATATTTTATCCTTCCCCCAATGTTAATAAAACACTTACCTTAAATGATGTCTCTTAATCCGATCTTCTTTCCTGTCCTTTCAGCCTTCTCTCCAGCGCTGTTGCAGGTCTCCGATCCAGCGCTGACTCCTCTGTCCTTGCTGGCACTTCCTGTCCCACGGTGTCTGCATGCGGGTGCACGCGTCCATAGACATACCTTGTGTCTCTTCTCGTCACCCGGCCGAAAATCGGAACTGTGCATGCGCCCGCCCCAAGATGCTTTGCGGCCGCCAGAGAATTTCCCGATTTTTGGACGGGAGTGCGCGGGAAGACACAGGTAAGTTGAGACTGCTGTTAAAGCGGGTTTAAAAAAAATAAATGTTTTTGCATATATCTACTGCTTGCTAGCAGTAGATATATGCAAAAATAACGGAGGGTTTAATAACCCTTTAACTATGAACAAAAATGTATCTTATTTGTGTATCACTCGGCTGTAGATCCTCAAATCATCTCTGAATTGGTGCTGGCACTGTCCTTCCCTCTGGAGGGGGGCTACTTTTGTTCCCCATGGTCCCTGTGTGTGATCCCTGTTGTAAAGCAGTCACCGCTCCAAGCTCACTCACTCATGATGGACTACAATCTCACGTTTAGTTTACTAATGTGTATTGAGATTGTAGTCCATCACAGGAGTGAGCTTAGAGTGGTGGCTTCTTTACAACACACACAGGTACCATGGGGAACCAAAGTAGCCGCCATCCAGAAGGAAGGACAGTGTCAGCATCAATTCCGAGATGATTTGAGGATCTACAGCCGAGTGATACACAAATAAGCTATGTTTTTGTTAATAGTTGAGGTACTTGAATGCATTTTCAAGATCTAAAGAATTATGGGGAGAGTGGAGTGCACTCTTCCCCATTATTAGAGCCGATGTGTGACACTGGAGCTGTAATGCGTCGACTCTATTAATCGAAAACTCAGTCAATCTATACAGCCAATCTTTGAGTTCCCGATCTTCTCCCTGCAGGGAGCTCCCCGCAGGTATCCCCCCCATATTCCTTCAGTGCTGACTGGAGAGATGGATGGGGGAGAGGCAGAGCCAGCTGTCAATCAGACAGCAGGGTGGATCCCGACAATATTGTCGGGATCCGTCCTGGCTGCAGCAAGACTCTGCGCTGTTAGCATATAGCGGGCAACAGCCAGCTATATGCTGAGTTTTTTGGGTCACAGGAATACATAGTAAATGTCCTCCTGTGATCCTAAAGAGAACTATGGCCATAAAAGGTTGGCCCATTGTTCTCTTTTAACTCCAAACCTGACTTTAACTCCTCACTTGTAATTTGCAGGAGATATTAAACAATGTCAATATCTCGGGTCCCGTGAGGCTCCTTATGAGTACATCTTATGAATAATAGGCTTATTATGTACACCAATTTTCATTTTGTTGTCTGATTGATTATCTGAGTTACTGACAAACATACCACATTATGTAAATTTGCTGTATTTTTTTTTTCTAGCCCTCTTTGGCATATCCCAGTCCAGATCCTATGGAGACCCCTAATGGAGCCCTGGATTTCTATGGACAGCGGGCATGGAGGCAGGGAATACTAAGTAAGTAACTTGGTCATCATTTAATATTGTGTTACCAGGTGGAAATGTGCTTTCACAGCAAGTTAAATCGCTTGCCTTTCTCGTATTAATCTTTTGGGGAGGGGAGGTGGATACAGAGGAGAGATTAGTATGATTTCCAGGCCTGACCACATGGTACATCCATTACCAGGATGGTCTCGCTTTGCCTCTTGTAGTTGTGATTAAGTATGGAGGTTTTCTACTAAAGCAGTGGGGCCGTTGTGCTGGTTTACTGAAGAGCCTATTACTCTAAACCAGGGGTAGGCAACATTGGCCCTCCAGCTGTTGTGGAAAAACAAGACCCATCAGGCATTGCAAGACTGATAGCCACAGGCATGGCTCCTAGAGGCAGAGGCATGATGGGGATATGTAGTTTCACCACAGCTGGAGTGCTGAGGTTGCCAACCTCTATTCTAAAGTGAATTCATACCTTCTGTAGTCTGAAGTACACTTTCTGTATCCTTAATCCAACACAGACATACAACATTTCATTCATGTCATTTGCTCTTATTTTAATGATGCCAACAGGAAGTGGTAACAAGAGTTTGAACACATCTTTTATATGTTGCTGTTATTTATAAAAAGAATACAAAATATACGCAGATTTGGTCCGTGTGATGTCAGAACTATTGAGGCTAAAGAATTGGACAATAAGGCCTATACATGTTCTATTTCTCACGATTTACTTGCTGAGAATGTGTGGGATAAGTTTCCAAGAAACATTTCTGAAAGTTTTTTTGTCCGGAACTCATAACTTAAAGGAGAACTATGGGGTTAAGGCTTTTCCCCATAGTTCTCCTTAGGGTAACGGGAGGACACAAACTAGCGTCCTCCCGTCACCCTAGGCTCAGTATACCGCGAGCTACAGCTACTGCTCGCGGTATACTGAGACGCCGCAGCTGAAGCGGATCCCGACAATTGTGCCGGGATCCGCCCAGCTGCGTGACTGACAGCTGGCTCTGCCTATGTAGAGGCAGAGCCAGCTGTACCCGCCCCTTCCCCCGTCCGTTCCGCCAGTCAGCGCTGGCGGATCGGAGGGGGGAATCCAGCCCCTCCCCTGTCACGGCAGAGAGCCGTGACAGGATCGAGAGGTGAGCGAACGCCGGTATGTGTTCGCTCACCACCCGATCTACTGAGCCGACCTGTGACAGTTTCATTGTCACAGGTCGGCTAGAACTATGAGTTGAGTGAAAAGCACTCACCTCATAGTTCTCCTTTTAAGTTCCATTTAGATCTGTTAGTACAAAATGGCTTTCAGGATGCCATCTTATTGTCCAATTCTTTAGCCTCAATAGTTCTGACAGTGAGATTTGTTAGCCTTCTCTAGTAACTGTGGTAATGCAGTTGCCATGTAACTAGATGTAGTTAGAAAGTTGGGATCTTTTACATAAAGATGACTTTTCTTATTGCTGAGCTTCGTGCAGTTCTGCCAGTCAGCTGTAACTCTTCATTACCTGCATTCATACTGAAACACCACAAACATGGGATTAAATGCTGAAGTGGCCATAATTGACAAGGTAAATACTATTTTCATGGGAAGTGGCAAATGTAGTGTTTGTAAGATAATTGCTTTTACTTAAAACTGAAAAATAAAATGTGGGTGGCTGTCTAAAATGGGCTTCAGCAGATGCGGGTTGGGGAGCTGCACACACCACTTTCACCCTCCTGAGCATTACCAGAGTAAAAATGGCTGCTACTATTGGGCTGTTAAAACCTTTAACAACTCTATCACTGGTATTTTCCAGAGTAACGGAAAAGGTCACATGATCATCCATGTTCCAACTGTCTACTTGCCTTGCATAGTGCACTTTACTAATGGATCCATTTTATGTATCATTTCCAGGCTTTGATCTTTCTGATCCGGAGAAGGAGAAGGCAGGGATTCTTGCTCTGCAGCTTAAAGAAAGAGAAGTCGTTCACTCGGTAAGCAGCTGTATGGTTTTGCACCCCTCTATGGTAATAAATGTGTCTTGCATATCATCATGTATGCTTCTGATGAATGGACATTCTCCTAAAATGTTGTAGCGGCTGTCCATGTGAAAAAACGTGCCTTTAAATTGCAATGCCCATCTCAGACTTCCCTACCTCTGTCTCTGTTGATCTGATGTGTGTTCTAACCATTGTCTTTGTATCTCTTCCGTTAGGAGCTTATTATCAGCCTCCTGAGCAACGCTGTAGCTCAGTTTAAGAAATACAAGTGTCCCCGAATGAAGAGTCACTTAAGTAAGTACTTCAGTAATGAAAGATAAATGGTAAAAAGTAAGTCAAGATTGAAAATGAATCATTAAACTTGGCTTTCCAGCAGACAAACAGCAATGTGAGAAGTCGTCTGTGGCAATCAGTCAGAATCCATTATTAAACGGGCTACAGTAACCTGAAATCCATCATTGGTTGTTATGGGTTACTGAACTTGGTACAGCATCCTTTCTGTATACATTTCTTTAGGAAATAGGCTGTTGAAATGCTGTATTTTGTGTTCAATTATAGTGTTGGCTATATGATTGGTTCTACATTTCCTGCTTGGCTGTCTCTTATTTGTTGTTGTCTGGTCATAACACTATATTACCATAATTCTAGAACACGTGTAAAGAGCTTGTGTGAACAAATTCATTTAGTCAGCGTTCTTATCCAATGTATATTACAGATAAAATACTACCGTATTTGCCAGCGTATAAGGCGACTCGGCGTATAAGACGACCCCCTAATTTTTCTGTTTAAAACATAGGTTTTGGGCTATACTCGTCGTATAAGACGTGTACAGCCCAAAATAATGTTTAAATACACCCACTAACCTCCATGGCGGTATTCCCGAGTGTGGCTCGGGGTTAATTTTCAGTACTATAAGCGGTAACCCCGAGCCACACTCAGGATTACAGTCTCTTACCTTGTCCACAATCCCTGCTGTGTCTTCCGGGTTCCGTCCCTTGCGAGCGTCGGCGTCGCAGGGGGGCGGAGCCGGCGGGAATTTTAAAAGTTAAAAAGGAAAAAATAAATAAAATAATCAGGCCGCCAGGGAGGCTAATCTGTCAGCCCGCTGGATGTGTGGATAATACTGTATGTACGGTAGCTTCGGCTACATACAGTATAGCACACTAAGCCAATCACGGCGAGCAATGTACACAACCTCTGCCAATCCGAGCAGGCTTTGTATTCATTAATAGAATACATCGCTCGCCGTGATTGGCTTAGCGCGGTATACTGTATGTAGCCGAAGCTACCGTACATACAGTATTACCGCACATCCAGCGGGCTATACCCGGCGTATAAGACGACCCCCGATTTTTCGGGGGATTTTTTTAAGTCTAAAAACTCGTCTTATACGCTGGCAAATACGGTAGCGGTATTTCAGTAACCATTACCCACGTTCAAGGATCGTCCACCCCACCCCATGGGTCTGGTGGGGGAGGGGGGATGAGGAACATCTTTTGTAGGTCAAAAAAATTATGGAAAAAAGTGGTTGGGTGGGCATTTCCTTTAAAATAAGCTCTCATTATATCTGTAGCTATATGGCTTGTGGAGAAGTTTGTCTTCAAACTTCACAACACAGACAGAGAAATCTTAATTTTTTTCCCCTATTACTTCCAATTCACATGGATTCATACCTATGTGTCTGTGGCTGATGCAGTTTTCTTTTATATCAATAGAAACGCATCACAAAACCTACACTGAGATGTTCATCAACACGCGTCATGATTCAAAGCACACATAAACGGATTGTGATATCGGCTTATGTTGATGTGCATTATGATGCTTGTTAACGTTCAATAAAAAGTGCATTGGAATGCACATTTACATGAGTTGACATTCATTTCCATTGATTTCAGTGTAAAATGGATCAGGTGGGACAACACTTAAGATGCCCATACACCTTACGAGTATCGGACGAAACTTTTCGTCCGATGATCGAACCGTCGTACGATTTTCGTACGACGGCCCCATCCTGCCCCGATTATCGCAAGGTTCAATCAGCGGTAGTTAAAAAAAAAAAAAAGCACCTGGACGACTTGCGGTAATTGACCACAATTATTTTAGTTTGCGCATGCGCAGTGTTAATCGTACGACTTTTGACGGACGGAAACGCCACCAACCATGCGAACATCGTACGATCGACCAAAGTTTTCAAACATGCTTGACCGTCAAAAGTCGTACGATTGTACAGTACTATCGGTCGGGCACTACATTCACACGTTACGATTGTTGTACGAAAAGTCGATCGCATACGATTATCGTACGATAATCGTAAGGTGTATGGGCACCTTTAGGAGTGAATCCAGCCCTACAACAGAATCTTGGCAACCTGCCAGCCCTCTAATGTAAACACATAGAAGGTATTTCAACAGACTTCACAGTCTTTGTGATCTTTGAGGATGAATAACTTCACAGTACATGCAGCTAGAGAGGCCGGTGAAGGCTTCTATTAAAGCCCTTTTACTGCTTGTTAAGAATATTCAATAATTTAATGTCCATGGTCTGGGCACCAGTGCATCATAATCAAAAGGAAAACATGTATGTGTGGTTAGGGGAAAATGAAAACTCAGGAACACTGATAAATTCTTTATTTAAAGTTTTTACTGAACAAAGAGTAAGCACGAACAATGCTACAGTGTATTTCCATCATAGATCGTTTTAGGTTCAAAAAGCCATTCACACATGAATATTTAATCCTTTGACTGACAGCAGTGTATTATGTACACAATGGCTGTCCATCTCATAGATGGCCAATTTAAATATGTTATGCATCATGGCAATCAATAGGTGATCTAGTTCCAGTTTAAACATATGGCCCTTCTCCAAACTGTAGGCGTGAGTCAGACGGCTGCCAAACCACCCAAAAAACTATTTTTGTTCAAGCTTCCTGTTAGAAATTTCAATGCAAGCACCATGGTTGTATTATAGATATTACACAGCTATGGCACCATTCCTTTTAATGCACTGCGTTCACTTTAAGCCTGATGAAAGGGACCCTGCGCGGCCCCGAAAGCGCTTGTTTCCACTTTAAGTGACTTCAAAAATAAAATGAAGATTCACTAAAATCTTGACGTATTCTGTCATACGGAGTGCTGGTGACATCCATACAACATTTTATCCGATACGGCACCATCCGTAGTCATTGCGAGCACCCATTTTTTCACATGGGAAGTCCGGCAAGGTGTGCTACAGGTCCTTGGACATTTTTTCTTGTGGATGGGGGCAAATTTGTTATGATGCACACAACCTGAGAGATTGGGTGCCACACCCCTGATTAAATGGAAATGGCAAAAAGAGAGGAAAGTGGGTTTTTTTAGGCACCAGATGACAAGTCCAATAAAATAGAGAAGAGTATTTGTTATATGTAAAAAATATATTTATTATAGGCTAATACAAAAATTAAAAACAGCATGATCGCAAAATTTCATAGAAAAAGAGAAGACCTTCTACCACCCATTAGTTCCACAGTAGAGGTCAACCACATGTAAGCACATATGCATTTATTGCACTAATTGATATCGTTTTATGCAATCATGTTGTCTTAATTTTCCATCATGTGTAGTTTGACCTCTACTGTGGAACTAATGGGTGATAGGAGGTCTTCTCTTTTTCTATGAAATTTTGCGATCATGCTGTTTTTCATTTTTGTATTGGACTATAATAAATATATATTTTATTTTGGATTGAGGACAATGAAAGCAGGATGTGAGGGAGAATGTATAGATTGCATTGTAATTATTTTACATTCAGTGCTATGGACCTTCTCCGTTTCACAGATCGATGCCAATTATTCCAAAAGGTGAGAACAGGAGCAGTTAAGGGTGGATAATTTTTGTCCCCATCCACAAGAAAATGGCAAAAAGAGTCCTCTCTTTTTTTGGGATTTTTTTAGGCACCAGATGACAAGTCCAATAAAATAGAGAAGAGTATTTGTTATATATAAAAAATGTCTATTTTGTTGTCAGTTATCTTTAACTAGATCAGAATGTTTCCTGGTCATTTGTGCATATCATTATTTGTCTTTTTCTACAGTGGTGCAAATGGGAGAAGAGTATTACTTCGCTAAAGACTACACTAAAGCCTTGAAGTAAGTCTCAGTTTGGGAATGATCTGTTTATATAATAAGATTTAATAAGAAAACCAATTCTCTTTTCTGTATATTATATTCCCATAGCATATTGGTAAATGTAGGTCTATTCATCATAGATTGTTGGCTCTTGTATTTGTTTCCAAATAATAACAGATTCTTTGTTGTGTGGACTGTATCCTTTTATTGTATTGTATTCACAGGTTGTTGGACTATGTCATGTGTGACTATCGCAGTGAGAGGTGGTGGACGCTGCTCACTTCTATATTAACCACAGCCCTGAAATGCGCTTATCTCATGGCACAACTAAAAGACTATATTACCTACTCACTGGAACTGCTTGGAAGAGGTACTTTAGTCAGAATTGCAAATGTACAATGGTTGGCTGTCCATTCATAATGGGCATCCTGTGATAAACTGATAAAAAAATGATTAAACATTGTCATTGTGGAAACTTTCTGAAGTTATGCAGCTAATCTGAAACTTTAGGAAGAAAATTTTAAAAAAACACTAATTTAATTATAGAAATTTCTCGTACACAGTCCTTCAAAGCTCAACAGCTCTAAATATTTGGTAGGAAGGGATATAACAAAATACTTTCAATTTGTATAGAAAAACAGAGCAAAAGGAGCGCCTCCATAGTGTAAAACTGATTTAATAAAGGTAAAATACAGCTGAAAATGTACTTACAAACGACTGTTAAAAACAAGAATTGAATAGAACGGTCTCAAATGGATCAAGATGGACAAACGAGGGAACAAAGTGAAGAAATCAGAAGAATAGGTGTTTAAGCCAAGGCTATCTGATCTTCCAACACTGATCTTCCTCCGGTTGACGCGTTTCAGAGGTTAAACCCCTTTCCTCCGAACCTAAAAGGTTCTCTCTGACTGAGAGGAGCTGCCACTGTGTGTTTTGAAGCTGGGTTCGAGAGTTGTCACGGTTTTTTGGCGCCAGTGATTTTTCATCTACTTTCAATTGTATGTTTAAAGAGCGAAAGGAAGCACATAAAAGAAGTTCATTGTTATGGTTTACCTATGCTGTAAAGCTGACATTTTAATGTGCTTTAATTTTGCCTTCCCTGGTTCCTCCTTTCCATCAACATGCTAATGAAATGATTAAATAATACATTTCAGTTTTCATTACATATTTTTTTTTAGATCCTCTGTCTCTGTGCTTCTGTATGCACTGCAGTCAGATCATGAAAACAGGAAGTTGTGGTAACACCAACATGAAGATGCTGAGCCTATATGATTAAAAGAACCTAAATCCAGTGAATGAAAGGGGGACCAGGGGCAGTAAGAGGCTGGAGAGGATTGGGCTAGATGTACTCCAGCCAGCAACTGAGGCAGCCTCTATCTGACTTAATGCAGCTTCTAATGCACATTGTGAGAAGCTCGCAGTGTTCACTTACATCAGAGTAATCCGTTTCAGTAAAGGAGAGCAGCCTGTACAACTATGCAACATAGACTATGTGACTGGAGTTTAGCTCTATAAATACTATAAGAAAATGTAATTAACAGGACTTGCTGCAGGTTTTTTAGGATAAACTTTGAGTAACTGTTACAGCAAGACAGCTTAGAGCAAAACTTGTATTTGTAAAGTTCCACTTAAAGGAGGTAGGTGGCATGAAGGAGAACAAAAGTATAGTCCAGTATAAACTGTTCAACAGTGTAAACTAAAATTGGGGGCAGGGAATGAGTTTGAGTGGAGTACACGGGGGTTTATTACAAGAGTAGTGGCTGGTCACTTTGCAATGTGACTTAGATTGCTTGCTTGGCATTGTAAATAGGGTGAAGCTGTGTTCACTCAAGGGCTTGTTCACACCAAGCGCGTTCCAGGAGCAGAGTAGAATGGATCAAAACTGCGTTAAATGTATTCCAATGGTAGTTTGAGCTCTAGTTCACACCGCAGCGTTCAGTTCTAGAGCATGTAAAAAAACTGCAGCAAGCCCTATTTTACCTGCTCTGGAACGCATGCAAACGCCCTGGAACACACTGAAAGCCCATTTTAAACAAAAAAAAAGTCCCTGAACACATCAAAAATGCGGTATAACACACTGCAATGCGTGTGCAGAAACTCATGCAGATCTGGTCTGCATGTGGTGTGAACAAGGCCTCAATCAGCTCATCAAGTGCTAGCAAAAATGTTTTTTTTTTCTCTTGCACATAACTTTGTATTCAAAGTTTGCGTGCATTGTATTACTATGATTTACCTTAGGTGAACAGCCTCTATTCCTTTTAGTAAATCAATGCTTATACCGTATGTCTTTTACTGTAGGTTACTATAGACACCAACATGATATTGCTGAACTGAGAAATAAAATGGTTGCGTATAAAAGTACACTTTACCGTCTTGTATAATGAAACCCTAATTCTGTAAACAGCTTCAACATTGAAAGATGATCAGAAGTCCAGGATTGAGAAGAACCTGATTAATGTGTTAATGGTGAGTTTACCATTAACTAGAGATATATGAAGAATGTTTCTTGATATAGACAAGTTTCCAGCTTACTGTGTTATCTTCATACAGAACGAGAGCCCTGATCCAGAGCCGGATTGTGATGCCTCCATGGTAAAAACAGCACAACGGCTGTGGGCAGACAGAGTTTCTCTGGCGGGTAGCAATGTGTTTACCATTGAGGTTCAGGACTTTGTACCATTTGGTATGTATAACCAGGGGTTAAAACCATATGCCAATCAGTATGGGGGTTTTTTTCGGTAGTTTTAATTCAAATTTTTTAAAATATATTATTTAGCACTCCGTTTCAGACATCTTCCCTAAATTGTATGCTGTGTGAATACAAGAGTTTTAGGAAATAGCACATATTAAGTCTTTTTGTAGAACATTGCCCTGAAATGGCAAAAGCATAAAAAAACAACTCCAGGTTTTCCTCCATCTTGCATGTTATGTTTTATTAGTAAAACCAATGTATGCCTGGGATAGCAAAGCTGATTCGCAGTTTTAGTATATTGGGGTATCACAACACATATCCCATACTATGATACATTTTCTTGGGAAGCGTGCAAGCGCATTTAGCCACTGGACGTGCTTGTTATGCACGTACAGATTTTCCAGTTTGTTGTACAAAGGGGCAGCTATTCTTTATGGGGGAAAAAAAGAAACAAAATTGTTACTGGTCATATGGGGCTAACACCTGTGTGAGTCGCAGAGAAAACCATAATGTGTCTGTGTGCTATAGCAACAAATTATAGGATGGGCAGATGTCCCACTGCCCGTTGTCTTCGGTGAGGTGCCTGCTTGTCATTGGCTAGATTTAGACATTTAAAGGGTGGTCCGCTTAAGTGAAAGTGACCCTTCACCTCTGAAAAGAAACTGAAAGGAAAGCACCCTGTAAATAAAGTCTCTTTTTATACTTGGCTGTCCTGCAGGTGAGTGAGTGAATTCTTTGTCCACGGTACGACAAAGTGGCGTTTCCGTGCATCAAAAATCGTACTATCTACACTGGTCATGCACAAACATAAATACAAAAGTGGCGTCCGATTATCGTAAGGTGTAGGGCCACCTTAAAGGTGGCCCTACACCTTACGATTATCGGACGACACTTTTCATTCCGATGATCGAACCGTTGTACGATTGTCGTACGGGGGCCCCGATTATCGCAAGATTCAATTAGCCGTAATTAAAGAAAAGCACCTGGACGAATTGCGGTAATCAACCGCACGTATTTTCGTTTGCGCATGAGCAGTGTAGATCGTACGGTTTTTGACGTACGGAAACACCACTAACCTTGCAATAATCAGACGATCGACCAAAGTTTTCAAACATGCTTGAAAGACAAAAGTTGTATGATTGTACAGTATTTGCAGTTGTACACTGCCCATACACCTTGCGAGTATCGGACGAAAACGCGATCGCATACGATTATCCTACGATAATCATAAGGTGTATGGGCACCTTTAGAGACACCTAATTCGACACGCCTAGATGAGTCCGATAGCAGCAACACGTGGTTGCATGTCATTTCTGATCAGCTGGGAATCCGTGCACACATCCCCTGCTGTTGGGATTGTATGTCACTGATATGACAACGTGTCCATCCATTTTTTTTTCTTCATTGATCTTGCGGTGGAGGAAAAAGCTGAACTTGCTGGACCCATGTTAGGTCTGTCGGAAGTCGGATGTAACTGGACATGTGTCAGTTTACATCAGATTACCCCCGATCGGCCAAAACGGAACTCACGCGCACACTGCCTGTACAGCATTGCGGTCATCGGAAGCCCGCCCCTCAGCGGGGCGGGCTTTCGATGATCGCAAGTACGATCTGCCTGTCCAAGATGGGCAGATCGTACGCGCTTTTAATAAGCTTACGACCATCGCAAGACAAAAGTCTTGCGATGGTCGTAAGGTGTATGGGCACCTTAACACTGGGCTTCCAATCAGATCCGTCTGAAAAACTGACAGGTGTACCTGATCAGAATGCCCATCTGAATTTCATCACACCACCACAATTATTTTTGAATCCATGCGAGAAATATGTATTTAGTCATATATATATATATATACACTTACACTGAGTGGCCAGTTTATTATGACCACCTGAAGTTTGTAGGCAAATTAGCTATAATTTAAAATTTGTGAGGGATATAATTGAGTTTTACAAATGGACTTGTAAACCAGAATAAATACATTCATTAAAGGTTTAATAGGATTAATGAATAAAGTAGCTTTCATTTACCTAAAAGTACCTTGCCACATAAAGCCCTAATAATTGTACATTACAAAAAGGTATCAGTTTGTTTGCCTTTTCACTTTCTGTAGATTTTGAATAAGCCTGCCTTTTTGTGATTCTCTACCGTTATGTGTCTTCCTTTGTAGTGCAATGCAAAGCCAAGTTCCTGGCCCCATGTTTTCATGTTGATACTCCAGTTGAGCTGTATGTTTATCTGAAAACAGATTGCCCACATCCAATCCGCTTCTCCAAGCTCTGTGTTGGATTTAGTAACCAGGTAATGTGCACCAGAGTTATCTTTCTTCCTTTCTTTTGTGCAGTGGGTAGCACATTGTAGAGCAGACCATTAGGGAATCACCTTGTGGGACTTCCAAACTTAACAGACTGCCTCCTATGCCTTTACATTATCTTTATGATGCCACCAGATTATTCAAGGAATACCTGTTGGCCTTTTTAAAGTTTTCACGCTAAAGAGCAACTACAAGATTTAGCCAAAAACCCTCTATGTCCAGGGAACCCCAAGTACACTAGGGGCTTGACTTAGCCCAGCACACACATCATCCCCCATACTAGTGCCAACGCGACCAGCAACAACAAACTCACTGGTTGTGGGGTCATAGGGGCACAGCTTATCTCTAAAGTTGGAGCCACTATTGGCATGATATGGCAAAGGCAGAATTTAGTTATAAAGCTAACAATGGCTGACGGACTGGATTTAATGTTTGTTATTGTGATCCTGGGAGTTTAGCGCAGCTCAGTGTAAAATATACATGAGGCATCATTTTAAAAATACTTTTCTGATGTTACAATTAACAGGAATATAACCAGTTCTGTGTGGTGGAAGAGCAGTACCAAGCCAGCGATATACTGGAGCAGTCGGCACAGGGGACAATGTGCCTAGTGCCAGGAAAGACCAGAAAATTCTCATTTAAATTTGTAGCCAAAACCGAAGATGTTGGAAAGAAAATTGAGGTTTGTGACAATTCTCCACTTTTCATTTATACACACAGCAACAGAGAGCATGTAAATCAGCGGTTCTCAACCTGTGGGTCGGGACCCCTCCGGGGGTCGAATGACAATTTGCCAGGGGTCGCCGGGGAGACAAACACTTTCTCCCAGAAATGTTTAATCTGCTCGATCGGCTTGTGTTATATGGTTTGCCATTTTAGCTGTTACAACAGTGGTTCTCAACCTGTGGGTCGCTGTGTGATTTCTGCTGTGCTAGTTGAGAGTCCTCCTCAGCCCTCTGCTAGCGCAGCAGTGTCAGTTCTCCCGCCACACCGACAGATGTCACTGCAGCAGCCGCGTCAACCCTAAATTTTACTATTGGGTGTCACCACAACTTGGCAAATGTTACCAAGGGGTCCCGGGCCTAGAAAGGTTGCGAACCACTGATGTAAATGGTATGTGTTTCACAGTGTAAGCACCCTATTTAATAAAAAGTCAAAATGAATACGCTTGTTTATAGGAAATATGGATTCTGAGAGTTTTCTATTTTGGGCAATCTCTTCATGAAAGTATTTCCACCATTTCACTAAGAATGGACTGATAATTTTCATGCCTAAACCTGCCATAAACATTTAATTCTTTCTCATCCATTGAGGGACACAGGAAGTCTTAAACCTTCAGGTTTATACTACTACAGCCTACAGTAGGAATGGACATTGCCAAAACACAAAAACTGTACAGCTTGTCCCAGTTTTTTTCTTCCTAGGGACCTAGTCGTCTTTTCTTCAACTCCAATATTGTAAAGACTAACCTGTAATTTTTCTAGCAATTTTTTTCCTTATTCAGTTTTTTCTTTTAAACAAGACTCTTCTTTCCATATCTTCTGACTGGTCATCTTTAGCCTGGCTTTTGGACCGTACCACATCTGGTCTGAGCTGGACATTGCAGGGTAAGACTAGAAGCAACCTTCAGGCACAGGGTTCTGCTTTGGGAGCTTTTCCAGACTCTTTTGGTAAAACGTAGGTGCACAGAGCTTTCCAGGTCTGGAGCTTCTGGTATTGCCTTTGCGCTTGCCCTTTCTCTGGAGACTCGCTTAGTGAGTAGGCCTGTTAGGTTGAGCTTAGGGAGGACCCTCGTTTCGTTGATCACTGGGTGCCATTATTCCCTGTTTCCCGCTGACTTTTCTGTAGAAGGGGATAATGCTGTGGGACAGTGAGCTGACCTAATCAGATTGGTGGAGTGTTGCGCTGCACGTTCTCTTCCGCCATACATTGTTGAGGAAGGATCTCCCCACTGCTGCTCCTGTTGTAAAGAGCCGAATGGAACTTCAGTCTTTGATCTGTTGCTGCTTCCTGCCTACAGTGGCTTTGGTCACATCCGGTCATTAACCCTCACCTTCTACCATCTGCCTGGGTTTCCTAAGTACTTGACTCATAAGCTGCAAAGTTGCCTAACAATTTTCTGGCTGAAATATGTCTGATTCTAAACAAGGATGGAGGGGAACAGTCCTGCTTTTCTGGGTGCCCCCAGCTCACGTCCTACTAACAGCTCAGGCAATGCTGTCAGCATTCCACTGATGGGGCAGATGTCTGCAGCCTGTAAACATGTCATTGGCACCATCTTCAGACTTCTCTGCCCTCTTGCGTGAGGATTTGACCCAAATTGCCCAATTATTTGCTGACTCTGATTGCAGTTTACTGCTATTACACCAAAATTAAAGGAGACCGTTTTGGCTCTTATTAATGCAGTGTGCACCACTCTGAAACTATAGGATCAGCATGTTGTTTTCAACCTTGGGTCATATAGGGCTCCTAATGCAGCAAGACCGTCCTTTGCACCAGCTTTTCCAAATGTTTTCAAATGAAGATTGGAAGCGCCCTGATAGATTGTTTGCTGCACCAAGCAGTTGCTGACTTTGTGTCTATCTATTTAGTGCCGTTTTTGTTGGTAAGTGGATCCAGCCATTTCTCATCTTAAATAGGTGACTACTATTCTGGTGGAGTAAAGGACCATTTTTGGTCTTGCATAGGGACAAGGTGCTGTTGAGGCCAAGGACTTCCTTCTTTTCTAAGGTAGTCTCTGCCTTCAACCCTAATCCAGAGTGACAAAAAGGGAATCGGTCTTTCTGGAAGAACCAGTGGCTGAAAGATACTTCCACAGCCTGAACCATATCCAGACAAGAACCATATCCAGACAAGGGAGGTAAATGTATTTTTTATAAACCGTAGCCTGACAAAGAGACAGGATAGCAATGTCCTCACGGCCGCTGCGTCTTTCATCAAGACCGATTCCCCTTCTTGTCATTCCACATAGGCCCTGAAAGGGTGCCCAGGGTTCTTGTTCCACTATCTCTAAGTAGACAGCCCATTCTTTAAGTTTATGGTTTCAAAGATTGGGTTCCCTCTTTCCTCTTAAGGCTAACTCCACTAGGCATGAGGCAGATTTGTAAGGCTCCTGCATTGTCTTCTGCTCACAAGTTCTACCAGGTGGACCTCTTCCTCGTCTGATGCCAGCTCTAGGCATATGATCTTTTAGGCAGCTCTTTGAACTGCAGGCTGTGCCCAGTTCCTCTTGTTTATCCTGGGCACGTTAAGAGAAAATAGTACAGAGACATCAGGCCATTACTATTTTACTGATCTTTACAAATAAATTCTTAGTAAGAAGAGACTAACTAATATGGAGGCAGTTGAATGAAAACTCAAGGCTGCTCACCTTCACCTTCTGACGTATATTTGGTGGCATGAGTAAACCGCTGATTGATTTCACTGCCTGTAGTTACTCTCAAATCATGTGATACATATTAGAGATAGTGTTGTTGAGGAGTTCTTTATGATTTGTCAGATTACATCAGTGGATCTAATCCTGGGGAGTGAAGCGGGCCGTTGTGTGATCCTAAACTGGAGAGGGGGTGGAGGAGATGCAGCCTCTGCTCAAGAGGCAGTGCAGGCGTCACGCTCTTTTAAGCGCAAACCGAAACTACCAGAAACTGAAGTACATTGGGACAGTATCACAATCCAAGCCAATACCATGTGAGTAATTTTAAATGATGCATATATATATATATCCTACAATATAACATCATATCTAGCAATATCTTACCATCTGGCTTTTGTTTTTTTTGTGTGTGTGTGTGTGTCTAGGATTATTTCTAGAGTACCTAAATTGTCTGTCCTGTTGCGTCATGAGCCGCCTGCACTTAATAATGAAATGTACTGCCTAATGATAACCATACAATCTCAGGAGGACACCGTCATTAAGGATGTAAAGCTGACTGCGGGACTTAAACCAGGTTTGTTTTTAGTTTTAGATCTTGCGTGTAAAAAAAAAAAAAAATCACTAAATAGATTAAAATAGATACAAATGAGAATACTAAAACAGAATGACTTCTTACCTTTTGCAGCATCTAGGCTTTCATCTATTTGGCTCAGCAGTGGGATGGTTCTTAAAGTGTATATGAAACCTAACAATGAACTATTTTGGCCTGTTAACTATACAATTGAATGTATTATGTTATATCTGTTTTATACGTGTCAAAAATACCTGTTAATCCTGCCAGAAATTCTTAGCAGTCCTTTGCTCTCTGCCTCTGTTCTCTCAAAGAAACTATTTTCTTGGAACTCCAGTCGATCGGTACCTATGCTGTGGATAAGAATACAGTTGGAGCTGTTGTGTAGTTTTAGTGGGAAAAGCTGACACTACTCACACAAAAATGCTGCATACTGTCAGTCCACAATAGGAAATTAAGGGGTGACTGCATTTCTGGCAGATCAACAGGTATTTGTTTTATATTTGCAAGGTCTTTAAAGGGTAAAACATTAGCAAATGTGCATGTATTGCAAATAAGTACTGCTTATGTGTTTGTTTTTGGTGGGTGTTTGCCTTTTACATATGTTTTAACCTTTTCATTACCAGATGCCATAGAAGCCTAGTTGCTCAGACCAAATTTAGCAACATCTGTACTCATTGGCAACTTGACAATAACTATACAACTAATTGTATTACTGAAACCATGTTACATACATTTTATGAAATACCCCGCCCAAGTGCTTTTCTATTGTAAGCTAAAAAAGTACAAATATTATTTTAAAATAGCAGTTTTATCCCAATATTTAGTTTTTGTATTTACTCGCTGTGTTTCACTGTGACAGCTGCAGCCTCTCTGTGTTCAACTGCCACTGTAGCTCCCTAAATGCGGCAGGTTGTTTGTAAACGAACCTCAAGTTACTATCATGATGGGCTTGCAAGGTGAACACGTGATTGGGAACCACACTGACTGGTTGCTGATCGTGAGTGTAGACCTGTTGCTGTCAAGGAGAGCGCAGTGTTAATACTAGGAGTGAACTCTTCTAGCTGAAGAGTGGAATAGAAGAATCTCCTCAATGAAATCAGGGACAACATTTGCAACCTAACGGGGTTCTAACCTTTTCCCGCTCTACCTAAAACTAAAAAGATAATGTTCTGTCTGGAGTGTACCTGTAAACATTGCCACAAACAATGGTCTGCTAAAGGTGAAGTATGTCTCCCCAGTGGGAAATGGCAATCATAACCTGATATGGGATCTTGCTGTTCCCCACTGTTTTTTCTTCACCTAATAAGAATGTTTTGCAGAGAGTTCCACATTAAATAATTTATTTAAGGGGTTTACTGAAAATTGGTATATCTGTTAATTTGGTGTAAATGATCACATTTGGTTTATGGCGATGCAATGCTGTGGCAGCCATAGTGTTAAATACAAATGTCTTTTTTGGCACGGGCTGATCATTTGATGACTTGGATCACCTGAGCTGACCCTGTAGCAGAGGATGTATTGTGCCGTAACCCAGGAAAACAATGTCTTTCACAGGGCAGGATGCCAACCTGACACAGAAGACTCTGGTTGCGCTTCAGGGAGCAGAAATGTGCGATGACTCAAGCCCGGCTTTGCTCACTGACATCCCCATAGGAAACCTGCAGCCCGGAGAAAAGGTGCCACTCTGACTTTTCCAACATCAAATATTTTAAGCCTGTATGCTTTCTGTCTGTCCAGGCAGCTATACTACCGAGAGTCGAGCAAGACTTTCCCCCCCATTAGATATCAGTAGCATATATGTAGGGATAAAAAGACTAATATTTCTCTAGGAACTTTTTTCCAGATACATACATAACCATTACAATGCATGTCCATACACTCAGCATGTGCATGTTAACAGAATAATTGTTATTTGGTAGTCAGAATATATTTTAGGGTACCACACCCTTTAAAATTTATAGCTAGCTTTAATCCTATTTCCTGAAGATATTCATGCTTGGACTTCATCAAAAGGTAGGATTCAATGAAGGGCCTAATTGCTATAAGCATCTGAAAGCAAGACATTGTCACCAGGTCCTCGTGGCTTCTTTTTTCATGTCAAATTTGCAAATGAACGCAAGCATGTGGTTAGATTTTAATCCTGAAGCCCATACTTTGAATGTTTCACAGTCCCTGCTATATTGCCCGCACACAGAATTTATCACATAAAAACACCAATGAAGGCTAACAACCATGCACATCCCTGGTGTAGGTATGAAAACAATTACTGTGATCCTGTAGTACACGCGTTTTGTAGAAAATAAAATTCAGGTTGGCTGATGTGTAGTAGAGCGCATTTATTACACAAAACCTTCAACTCATCATATACTAAACTATATTATACTTAAAATTGTGAAGTGCAGCATGTCTAATGATCACTCAGGATGAGGCTTTTTCCAATATGCCATACGTTTCAACATCAAATTGGGCATTATGCATAACAACATGGTTGTGTGACTCTGCTTTTTCACCATTGCATGGTTTGTTTGTTTTTTACATTTATGGGTTTATTTAGTAAAACGTGGAAAGAACTGGAACTTTAATAAGTAAAGGATAATTAAAGCCTCCGGTTTTTTAGCATATATCTATGGCTAGCAAGCAGTAGATATATGCAAAAAAGTGTATTTAAAAAAAAAAATGCTTTAAAGAGGTCAATACTTACTTACCTGTGTCTTCACCGCGCGCTCCCGTCAGAAAATGTGAAAATTCTCGGGCGGGCGCATGCATGGATCATATTTTTGGCCAGGACGCAAAGAGAGACACAAGGTAAGTATGTGTACGCGCACACCCGCATGCAGACAACGTGGGACAGGAAGTGCCAGCAAGCTCAGAGGAGTCAGCGCTGGATCAGAGACCCACAGCAGCGCTGGAGGGACTGATGAAAAGGACAAGAAAGAAGAAGATCGGATTATGAAACATCATTTAGGGTAAGTGCTGACATTAACATTGGGGGGAGGGAAAACATTTTTGGCTTTAATGTCACTTTAAAACCAAAACTCCTAGTTCTAATCTGATTTCAGTAAAATTCTGGTTGCCATGGGTTAATTAACTTTTCTGCCTGCACTATTCATCAATAAGTGAGTAGTATAGGCCTTTATGTACCTTGTAATATTAGTCTCTAGATGTAATTATATACATAAAAAAGTACTGCTCTACCTCCTTTGCCACTGCAGCTTGGGATGTTGGTCTCAACAGCAGGGCCCCTGTTACCCTGCATAGACTGTGCAAATAAGTGAAAGCGCTGGAGTCCAAAAATGATCCATAAATCCATGTTATTAATTAAAAGCCAAAATTCAGTGCAACACTGCAACAAGACACTAACACGTTTCAGCTTAAGGCTGGGCACACACCTTACAACCATCGCAAGACTTGTGTCTTGCAATGGTTGTAAGGTAATTAAAAAAACGTACGATCTGCTTATCTTAGACAGGCAGATAGTACTTGCGATGATCACAAGCCCGCCCCGCTGAGTGGCGGACTTCTGATGACTGCAATGCCGAACGGGCAGTGAGGGCTTGCGCACACCGGCCCGTGTGGCTTTTATCTTACGAACATGCTACACACCCGCTGAAAATGGTACGATTCTCGGTTTTCGAACATGTTCGTAAGATACCTTACAGTAGAAGCGGTCGCACGGCTTCCACACACCTTACGATAATGGTACGATCGCAGTATTTCCCGCGATTATTGTACGATTATCGCAAGGTGTGTGGGCACCTTAACAAGCTTTAGTCATGGCTATTGTTAAGACTTGTATAGCCAAAACACAGTAGTCTCTTGTTGCTGTGCTGTTCTGAATTGTGGCTTTTAATTAACGAGGCATTAAGAGGCATTATGGATCTCTTTTGGACTCCAGCACTTCACTTACTGTAACTGTAGAAGATTTGCCTGTCTGTGACCATTCCAGTTATCTTTTTCCAGTGCAGAAAATGTACATAAGTACAGGATGTTTTGGCAACACCTCTGGTTTTCCTTTACATATTACTATGTTAGGCCTAAGTATTTATATATGACGGTGCATTAGCTTTGGTGTTTTGTCTTTCTTTACAGCTGGACATGCCTCTGTATATCCGCTGCGGCACTGTAGGTACACGCGTTTTTCTGGTTTATGTTTCATACCTGAAAGACACATCAGTGGAGGACAAGGAGGTTGTCTGCAGATGTCACCGGGTAAGATGCCCTTACCACGTAGAATCATTCTATAGTGTATAGCAACTGCTCAAAGGCTATCTACGTCTACTGACTGCTCGAAACTAGTGGTACTTGGTTGTTATGGGTAACTGATCATCATTGCTTTACCTGTGCTGTTAATATCACGCCAGCAAAGCCGCTTAAAATGTTATGTGACTAGTTTTAAAGCAGAACTCCATACAAAGCACAAATGAACAGTTAAGGTACATATAAGTGAACAGTTCTAATCAATGACTTACACATTGCATAGCCAGGAAATGGAAAACACTTGGCCATTCTTCATTTTTTTTTTTTCTTTTAACCGATTGCCGTCCGTCCGTTGTGAAAAAACGGACGGACGGCAAGCTCCCATTGGCGCACGGGCAGAAGTAACCCGTCCATTGTAAACAGCCATTACCGGCTGTTTCACATACAAGCAATCGGCGGCTCTATAGCCTGCCGATCGCTTGTATGTGCCGCCATCACTGTCCTGCTGCTGTCCCGCCGCCGCCCCCCTCCTGCACCCTCGCCTTCAATCCTGGGATTCGCTGCTCCATCTACGGCCCGGGACAGGCTCGGGAGGGTGTCAGGAGGAAGATGGAAGGGAAATCAGCATCTTCCTCTTTGCTGATCTCCCTCTTTGTGTGAATGCAGAAGTAATGTGTAATACATCACTTCTGCATTCACCTGACAGTCATCTGGCTGCTATAGACAGAGAGAAGAAGCTGATGAAGCAGATCTCTCTTTCTCAGCTTCTGTTGGGGTCCCCACCTTTATGGTTTCCATAAAGAGCACCTGTCAGTGTGCCTTTGCTATTATATAGGGGGATTGTTATCCCCCTATGTGATAGCAATAACATTAAGTGTAAAAAAAATAATAAGTCACATATTTAAAAAAAATGTTTCGGTCCCCCACGTTTACACACATATAAACGTAAATACGCGTCGGATGCGCCAGCGCGCGAAAACGTCAATTGTGCTACACATGTTACATATTGCCGTGAATGTCGAAATGAGAGCAATCATTTTAGGGCCATCAATCACTGATAACACTAAACTGATGAGCGGTAAAAGCTTTTAAAGCATCGCCTATGGACAATTTTGGGTATTGTAGTTTTTTGAGGTTTCGCAGGCGCGCGCAATTTTAAGGCTTGACATGTTTGGTGTCTTTTATATTTTACCAAAAAATTGGGTAATAATGTTTTATAATTTATTATAGGGGAAACTTATTTTTTTTAATTTTCAGTAATTTTTCCTTACTATAGTAAAAAATAAAACCCCCAGTGGTGATTAAATCCCCCCAAAAGAAAGCTCTATGTGTCCCCAAAAAATGGTATAAAATTAATTTCAGTACGACTTTGCATGACGGAATAAATGTCAGTCAAATTACTGCAGCGCTGAATACTGAAACATAGCCTGGGCAGGAAGGGGGTTTAACACTGCGGACTTCAAGTGGTTAATAAAAGGTTCTTCATGGTTCGAGGTCAGTGCTGAGGTTGTCAGTCATTGTAGCAAGTCAGCCCAATGTCATTCCCTCATTGAGGACTAATTTACCTGCCATAGGTGGTGGAAGGGATGTTCCCGGACAGATTCCAAATCAGTCACTTGTTAGAACATCTACCTTGTAGTGGCGAAAGAACACTTGTAAAAAAGAAAAATAGGAATATTTGGTGATTTTATTCAGATGTTCTAAGTGCTTGGGCAAATGGAGGAATTCCGTTTTAAATTTATAACAAACCTCATTTATATGATGTGTTTTGTTTTTTAATTTGCAGGATGAAACGGTTACCATTGAGACCGTATATCCATTTGATGTTGCTGTGAAATTTATATCCTTAAAGGTCAGTACTGCCAGTTCCAGTGAAATTAGTTTAATATTATAAAGTCAATTTTTTATGATCCATACTTAATTTAAATCACAAGCAGGATATGACAATCTTCTACAGATATTAAACATGCTGTCAATCATAGCCATCTACACTGCTTTGCCCAAAAAAAACAAAACACACTTTAATATTTAGTTGCACCGCCTTTAGCTTTGATTACTACATGCATTCTCCATGGGATCGTTTTGATAAGATTATGCAATGTGGCAACATTTATTTCCGTCCAGAGTTGCATTCATTTTTCTACAAGATCTGTAGTGATGATCGTAGAGCCGGACCACTGCGTATAGTCTTCTCCAGCACATCCCAAAGATTTTCAATGGGTTTTAGGTCTGGACTCTGTGGTGGCCAATCCATGTGTGAAAATGATGTCTCATGTTCCCTGAATCATTTCACAATCTGAGCCCGATGAACCCAGGCATTATCATCTTGGAATATGTCCGGGCCATCAGGGAAGAAAGAAATCCATTGATGGAGAAACCTGATCATTCAGTATATTCAGGGAGGCAGCTGGCCTCATTTTTGGGAACGTAATGTTGCTGAACCTAGACCTGACCAACTGAAGCAAAGCCAAATCCTAACACTGCCCGAAATCCAGGGGGTGACGTTTTTTTTTTGTTGACCAGGCAGTGTATTAAATATTTTACAGTCAAATGAATATATTTATTGTACAATATACCACTATATTTTCCACTGAAAGAAGTTTTTATGCATACATTTGTCTGGGCTAACACTTGTTTTAAGCAAGTTGAAGTATGTTTACTCATCCAGAATGATTTTGGTGTTCTTCCGGTGATAGTTTGCTAGTCTGAGAAGGTATTGGTGTTGGAAGTTGTATCTGTTCTATTGATAAATGCAGTGTTTTTTTGCAGAAATAGTTTTTATTAAAGGAGAACTATGAGATGAGTGATTTCCACTCACCTCATAGTTCTAGCCGACCTGTGACAATGAGACTGTCACAAGTTTTTCACAAACAGTATATTGTAAAAACATACAAAGGCAGCAACAAGTGAGCATCGTTGAAGATAATAGCATAGCTATAATTAACACCAACAGTATATATGTTAGTGTGCCCTAGATCGAGCCTTACCCCCACCTAATTACCTATCCCTGCCATGGGGATCACAGGCATAAAGGTCCACCCCGAAGGGGACCATCATAACTGAATTTGGCGAGGCCCTGGGCCTTCAGCATCGAAATAGAAACATGGAATCATACGAAAGTCATGGTTCCAGTAACAGGTTAAATTAATTGCAACCCCTAAAGCCACCATACATAAACAACATAAAATAGATGCACAACAAGACAAGACAAGTAGACAACAGAAAGAAAATGAGAAATGAAGAGAAGGAAGAAGAAGGAGGGGGTAGTGGTAGAGGGTTGATAAATGCAGTGTTAACATGGAGGCTAGGTCAGTCTGTTCTGTAGAATGTATTTGGACCACACTCTCTCAAAAGGAACTGTCAAAATATAAAATATGGGAGCTGACGTCTTAAAGGTGCATAATACATGCTGTCCATTTATCCTTCCTTCATTACTACATACTGAGTCTCTCACCTGGAATAAGCATATGCCTGTCAGTTGATGGGACATCTGATATGAACATATTTCATTTAGGTCTGTGGCTCACTACATAGTAAAAAGGGATATGAATAACAGCATCAAATATTTCACACAAAAATGCTGTTCACAACTAAAACAATGCCTCAAAGTTTAAAGTATACACCTTCTATTGGCAATGCAGCAAATATACTGCAACAATGACCTTATTATCAAGGACAAACATAGTCCATTCCCACCTTAAAAAAAAGGTAGGTAGGTTGTAATATGTATGACATTTCCTAGAATATGAATCGGTAAAAATGTCAGCTCCCATATTATTCTGACAAAAAAGAAAGACTTTTCATAGACACAAAAAGGGCAAAGTGACTCGATGCTTAATTTATTAAACTTTGCCAGGGAAGAAATGTATAACGCCAGGCCAGAATCCACAGCACACCTTTTAATGCATTGTCTAATGCTAATAGAGTTTGATGGTTGATTTGTGTTCTTGCAGTTTGAACATTTAGATCGTGTTTATGCTGATATACCCTTCTTGGTAATGACGGATATCTTGAGCGCTTCCCCATGGAGCCTCACCATCCTGTCCAGCCAGCTACAACTCTCATCATCTGTCACACCTGTGGACCAACTGGAATCCCATGTGGAAAATGGTTAGTATGTAAAACCAGAATTGCAAAGGAGCAGCAGGATTCTAGTTGCGATTAGCTAACTTGTACTATAGACAGTAACTGGTCTTGTGAAATTAAGAATATTATGATTAATATTTTGATACATAGCAGTATTTTTAAATGCCTACAACATTGTGCATTGTGTGGTTACTGATGCAATTAGTAATTTATGGTAGGGGTATATTTACCAGTTAAGTTCCAGGGCAGTTTTAACATGTCGGCTTTGGGCATATTTATTGACAGTAACTTTGTATGGCATAAGACTTTTTTTGTGACAAACAAGTTTTTTGGTGGCAATGTTTAGAAAATGTTTAAAAAATTCACCGGATTCCAGTCTGACCAGGGAAAATTTTAAAACAATTATATTCTGTGGCACTCAAATGATGCTTCTGCTACAACGCATGGCAAGGCTATTTGCAAATGAAGCAAAGGCTTTTTAAATGTTTTGTACATTTTTTTAATGCTTAAGTCTCAAATAACATCAAAACAAAAAATAATTTTTTGTATATACAATTCAAAATGTATTTTCAAATCTGCACTTAAAAAAAATAGAGCTGATTAATGAGTATTTAATAAGGGCCAGTTAGGGATAACAAGGGGTTATATAGAAAATACTTTTTATAGGAAAAAGAATGAAACTGAACTTTGTATTTACTTTGTTTTTGCTGCTTTATTTTTGCCTGTGTCATTAAAACATTTTAAAAAGTATATACGTTATTAGCTCCTAAGTGGCCAAATATGAAATACATGCGTCTGCGCCGCTCGCTCCTGGCTGCAGAACACAGACATGAACGGCCGTGCAGGAGGATGATGTGGGCGGCCACATGCACAGTCTATATCACCGGTGGGGAGAGGAGGAGAGACTCAGCGGGACCGTGCACGCCGGACAGACTCTGTGGGACACAGAAGACAGAGGAGTCTGCGCTGGATCAGAGAGTGGCACCAGCACTGGAGAGACTCCTGAAAACTACTGGAAGAAAGAAGAAGCTGATCGGATCAAGAGGCATCACATTAGGTAAGTATTTGAAAGCAGAATTAGATTGGGGGGAAAAATATATATAT